AAGTGCTCCAACCGCCAGAGGAACAAAATCAATATGGTTGTCGCCATAATTTAGCATCCGCTTAAACAACATAATGCAGTTCACAAAGAAACATAGAAACTCAATAAAGACACCGAAAATAGAAACTATAATAAAACACGAATATTATCATCCCAAAATGGAACTGAACAGATTGCCAAAATGTAGAATCAATTAGGACATATTACAAATCCATACGTGGAGGGATTTCCACAAACAAAGCCTTGTAAAATGGATCCTACATGAGGTCGATTGTGTACCATTTTGTTTCTTTACTTCATTTAATGGCATTACGCGCACTCTCAATTAGTTCAGGACCTTAAACGGCGATGGAACCAACCTTTAGGACTTTTAGTCTGTTTACGGAGATTTAGAAAAGCAGCGTTCGAAGCTCCAGCCATGATTGTTTGGTCAAACCCTTAATCACTTCAATCAACTTATTTTGAGGGGGACCAGGAAGTCTATCTGCTCAAGTATTTTGTGCCACTCTTGTTGAACCAACGCGAGCATGGTTCCGTAACATCGGTTGGTTGAGTGCTGTGTAGTGTCACGTCTTTGAAATGTCTGTTAATATTTATAGCCACTCCGCCTCCACTCTTGTGTACCCTATCTCACCAGAAAAGTATCATGTCTAGCAAGCTCACTTCACCATCCGCAGTGTGAGGGATAGACAGTTTTTATTCAGGATTATGATCTTCAAATCCATTTGAGAGCACATATTTCTGATCATTCCAGCTTACTCTTCAGTCCTCACATGTTGCCATAGACGCGCTCGATGATATGTCTCATCAAAGCGCGCCTCTGCAGCAACAGAGGTTATCGAATTTTTGAACAGGTTGTTTAAAATGAGTTCACCAGTTCCTTCAAAACTGTTTGCAACAGGTTTTCTGCTTGTGTAGTGTATTTATTCGTCGAGATCGTGGCCTTCGTATCTTGTGTCATGAGTTGTGGACAGAGGTTGAATGAAATAAGTTTGAGACGATTTTGGCCTCCCTGTTGTTTTCTTACTGATCTAGGGTGGCCCTCGCAACATCTAATTTGACTAGAGAGATGATTCTTCATTTTGTACAAAGTCTGAAGCGCATCCGTTGCATTTTCACGGTTTCTGAATTTCACACCCATCAGATGAGTAGACTTAATTCTCATGAGGTCTGACGGACGAGCAAGCCGAGCTACGCTAGTTGCCATGGTGGTGTGAGGGCCTACTTGATAGAAGAACGTTTCGCTGGAGCACAAAGAATTTTGTTGCAAATCTAAATTACGTAAGCAACAAAAAAGAAAGAGTCGTTCAAAATACGAGTGTTGTACAGCATTTCAAATTTTCACCGAATCTTCGAATTGGTCTTCTCAGATGCTATTTCTATTTCTAACCCTTAGGTTTAACCTCCTGTCTGCCTTATGGTTATGGATTTTTCTCCTTAATGTGGCTGAGATTTCCGGTGGAATTCATGGTGCTGGCTTTTCCTGGAGTCCCTCAAAGTGTATTACACCACTATCTTACAACTCTAAGGATAAGTAATTAGTTTGTCTCACTTCTTCATTACTTGGCCAAAACTTACACATCGATGCCGCATCACTGATTAGCAAGGTGGATTTGGTGCAGGTGTGGATGTGATCAACAAAGCCAGCGCAACACTCCTACAACTGGAAAACGACTGGAACTCAAAACAACCGTCAGTTAGCAACGAAGTCAAAACCTTCGATATAAGCGATAGAAACTGTGACTTTTAGAACTACGCAACCTTTCACCGAGAAGATGCGAGTGTTTATTGACAGTTTTCCACTCGAGATACTCCAGATGCGTTGGACAGACAGCGTCACGAACGACCTTTTGTGACAGAGAACAAACCAGTGTTCCGATTAGGAAGAAATCAGGAAAAAGCTTTGAAGGTGAATAAGACACATATTACGGAAAGTACCCAACTGCATCATGAATCAGACCATAACCTGGAATCCTCAAGGCCAAGGGAAAAGGAAAGCTAAAGAATGCATTGCGTTGAGAACTGGAGGCAGGCACAAAAAGAATGAATAGAACTTAGGAACCACCGAAGAGAAGAGCCTGGGTTATACACCTGAGGCGAGTCTCTCACCAGGAAGGAGAGGAGCGCAGGCTAAACGAGGCGATAGCATGCACTCTCAGATGAAGTTAGCTACCAAAATACAAGCAAACCTAAAATAGCTTTGTAGGTTCATAACTAAAATGAAGGCCTACGAATCAGGGTGTTTGTTCCCTCAAAGGTTCAAATGGCGAATATTTTGGGGTTCACAACGTCGTCGAACCTCCCTTATTAAAAGAAACATAAATCTCTTGGATGGAGTGCAGAGATTAGCGGCTAAATTGGTGATAGGTTTGAAGAACAAACCTTATGAATATACTTTACCTACGCCTGTCACCCCCAATTCAGCACGGGCCGCCGACCAGTGTTCTCCAACCTTCTCCGTCCTGGGCTTTCTTTTCAGTTCTGTCCACGTTTTGTTCATTCTTCTTATGTCTTTCTCTATTTATTGACGTGATGTGTTTCTTGGCCTACCTGTTTTCCTTTTACTTTGAGAATTACAGGTGAGGGCTTACCTTGTGACGCAGCTGGGTGCTTTCCTCAGTGTGTCTTATCCACTTCCTCCGCTGGAACCTGATTTGCTCTTTCCCAAAGTATATTTTTGTTGATGGTGTCTAGCCAACGAATCCGAAGTATTTTGCGTAGACATCTGTCAATGGATACTTGAGTCTTTTGGATGATGACTTTCGTAGTTCTCCAATTTTGTCGCTTAGTTCTTACGACTATTGGCCGCAGAAATTGGGATTATTTTCTCTGAGCCAGAGGTGATCTGACAATGGTGTACATGCTAGTCGTGCTAGTCGTTATTATAGTCATTTCCCCAGATCCTTAACTTATCGTCTCACTTATTATGTCTGTTTGCTTTACCTTGCTGACACTTCTGTCTTCTCGCACAATCTTCACTACTAACTGATTAACTTATTTATTCTTTTACTTACTGAGTTCTGAAATCGTTTCCTTATTACCATTAGAATCTTCTCCTAGTTATTCTCTACACTGCAACTAACTGGTATATTGGCCTAGTAACGTGGTAGCTGCTGGTATTCAAAAACCCTACTGCGCTGAGATAGACGTATTCATTCAAATGATGGGACATACAAATTCATAAATAACTGGCAACTGACTAGAATTAGTGCAGTTCTCAATCAACCCTGAATTATCAAAATGAAATTATGCAGTGGAAGAAATAAAATCTTAGGTGAATTTCACGCCAACGTTGTCTCAGATTAAAAGTTAACCTAAACATAATAAACGGATGTGTCAAAAGAGAAACTTAGTAGTCAAGGGAAACTGAATTTCGATGTTAATGTTTCTGCCTAGCCTGGGGACCTACAAACTACTGTGCATAAATATGCAAATACATGTAGATAAACAGCACAATTATAGCTGGGGGATTGGCATAAAACGTATTTTATGGCAGTCAGTCGTAGCGTGGTCTTAAGGAGTCAAACAAGAGGTATGCCTGGACCGAAACCTAACCGGGTTATTTTTCCTCAGACCACAGTTATAAGCGATCACGTGACAACCGGTAGATATAGTTTCGCGGTGGGAGAAGGAATGATAATCCCGAAGTGCTTATATATTCCTGTGAAAATCAGCTCCCCAGTGAAAATCACTTAATAAGTAAAGATATCATGCAAGTGTGCTAATTTCGTTACAGTGGTACTAGAAAAGAGATGACTTGAAGATTATTTATAAAAAAGATAGGACTAAAGTAAGGTTTGAAAAATGATTTACATTAGGGCTATTTTTGTCCAGTGAAATCTGCAAGCTTGTTATTAATCATGGCAAATGAAATTTTCAGATATATTTAGACCTTTCGAGAATACTAACACTTTTCAAAGACCGGAAAATGGGGAGTGTTATAGATCCATTCACCAAGGAGAATTCAATGCTTTTCACTCAGACGGATTAATACCGACATAAACTTTATAGTTTGTCATTCTTTGCTGGTTTATTATCTTCTTCACCACAACACCACAAAGGTTCTGTAGTCATCGGCTGAAAAATGGGAAGCTGGACTTGATTAGTTCAGTCATGGTTTTCGAGCTTTGATACAAGGGGAAAAACAATAAAATGCTCAGTCACTGAAACTGAAGATTCTGAACTCTAATCCAATGGTGTAGTTTCTTCGATAAATCCTCTTAGTTTTTGTAATGTATTTTTCCCAAGGTAGTATCAGGCCTGTGAAGAAACCCAAAATCGTCTCTGTTACTGACATAGACTAACTCCTTCTGTGAAAGGGTGGACAATCTGAGAATTTCTCTCCACACAGAATATGAAAGTTCAGTGACCTAAAAGTGCATCCAATTCATTTATTTCGGAACTTATGAAGGTGGTATTCCATTCAATATGTACTTATAAATGCTACTAGGGTTTTTACATATCGGTACGACTTTGTTGATAGTTATGTCCAAACAGAAGACTTGATTCAGTCGCATTAACTTCTCCAAACAAGTATCCGATTCTGACCGATAATTTGTGTCATATACTGCTTTAAAATATTTGAGTAGTGCAGAAAAAGCTGGTAAGTACAATATTAATGGTCTCAGGAAGTGTTTAACTAGGAAAAAGTATAGCAGAGTACCGATCAGGCTTTACGGTGACTAATGGAAAGTCCATTTTGGGACATTTTATTGGATGAATTGGTAGGACTTACGGACACCAGACTGTTCGGAATCTTGAAAGCTTTCCCTTACTAACTACGCAGGAACATAGAGTGTGGAAATTCCTCCACCCGGAGTCAGCTGATTGTGATCCAACTGATCCACTGATTAATCGCCATCAGAGGCTAATAAACAGGAAAAGTTTTAGAGTGCTACTTTCTTCAGTGTTCAGCCATATTATCATCATAATTTGAAGTCCTTTTTATATTGATTTGACGACTAGATAAGTGAGTTGTTTTAGTTTACATTACGGCACGACCCGCTTTTCAAAAAGTTGCCATTGTATTGTGGACATTGATACAATGGCTTCAAACTAGGTGTGACTCGTTAATGCTAGTAAACGATAGTCTTAGTAACGATAATCAGTGAGTTATAAGTCAGTACGTTGATATTCTTTTTTTATTGTTTGACCACACTCCCCATCAAGCTCATTTTGTGCTACTATCTAAATTTATGGCCCTCATCCATTTTTTCTCTCTAAAAAATCAGTTTCTTCAAATTGATGTATGAGAAATATATATCTAGGCCAGTATCAAGGTTTACAATAAACTAATGGCCAGAGGATTGGGTTGTTCCGGAAATCCGAAGTCTGAGTCAGATGGGAACAAGCCGTATATCGTGTACGTTTATATCACAGCTGAAAACTTGGATGTTATTCGAGTCTGAGACGTATGTAGCATTTTCGAATCATTTTGTTAAGTTAGAGGGATAAGTAAGTAAAAGTACCCATATATTCCCAGTTAAACTTGTCTTTTTCTTCGTTGTGACCCAATTTGAACTCTTAGTCTTTATGAAACAAGGTAGTGGACTGATCGTTCCTTTCGACTTCATACTGACCTACAAGATGCTCATATATAGAAGCGGAAAAGCATAATATGTCAGTCAAGGAACACTTTAGTTATAAAGCAGCCAATGGCTAAAAGTCACACAATATCAGCGAAATAATGGTTTTAATCTGGATAATCAACCCTCGTATGTCAGATTGTTCTTTTTAGTGTGAAGTACCATTTGGTGTTTCATAATTTTGCGTCATCATACCACAGATTTCTTCAGTAACTGAGACCAGACGCAATGCTAGGTTAGGATTAGGCGTTAAGAGTTCTGAATATGGCTCCAAATTTGAGTCACAGTTTTCATGAAATGACAGCTATGATACAATCCTGTTATTCTCAACTTACGAGACTTACAGTTTAGATTATGAGTACCACGTAGAAAGGGAGATTATCATCCAATTTCACTAAATACCTATGGCATCACGTTGAATCACAACAAATGCTGTATCATACGATTTGACTTGATAGGAGTTATGTTTGGTAATTTAGCCTAATCATCCTAAATTCACTTCTCGGTTTCACAAGCATTTTGAGGACCATATATTACCAATTTCCACCTCATTGATAGTAAAATACAAGTTATGTAGGCTCAAATACATGAGGGGTTATTCTAGTTCTGATTATTCCATTCAAAGCCTTCAGTATGTTATGATTTTGCCGTACAAAGATGTACAAGTTACGACCGCTCAAAATGTTACCTTGTTCCACGTGTTCTAATTAGTGATATGTTTCATCACATATATGCACATTATGTTCGGAGTTTTCCTTACAATGTAGAAGCCGCTAAGTAACATGTAGGAAGATTATACTTCTTGATAGTGATATAAAATTTCATCAATAAGTGGCTAGGACATGTTTTATTCATGACTAACAGCGTAAAGCTGGGTAATATCTATATTATGTTTGAACCATGTCTTGCATTGATCACTGATTGATGTTCTACGATAAATAGTATCCACTCATTCCAATTTTGTGGCGTTTATTATCACTTGACTGCAAATTACTGTACTGATTCATGTGTTTAGTCCTGTTTGTTTCTTTTGATGTCTTAACAAAGAATCATTAGTCCTGTTACTTTCCAGATGATTCCAGTAAATGCGTTTTGTACACTTATTCTGCTGTGTTGATTTTTAGCTAATAAATGAAAAATCAGTAGATGCATCACAAATTAACGGAAATCCATGAATGATTCATTGAGTAACATAACTCCTAACCACTTCTTATGAGATCGACACTCCAAAATCATACAAAGCATTCAATAGCTTTTTATTAAGAAGTCCGAATTTTTGGACTTCCGCATCATTGAGTGTTGCTTACATATGTCACTCCTAGTTCCTATGCATCACATTAGCGAAGTAAAAAACCTCATAAGAAGATAAAATGAAAAAAAAATGATGCCCGAATTATGAATGAGGTTAAGGAGTGAACTTTCCTTATCGTGTTGGCTTCTTAGTTATGCTACCGAAATTCTTCACCTAACACTTCAGATAACGTTATCGACCCTATCCAGACGTTCAGACTTGAAAGACCAGATTAACTATCATATATTTGTGTGTCACTAAGCCAAAAACGGTAGCCAGTCATTAAAACACTCAGAAACATCAATGTCGATTAGACACGAAAATATCCCGTATCATACCTTAAGGAATACAAGTTTCCACCCAGTTTCCCATCGTCAGATTGTATTTCATATCAGGTTGAAAATTCTTTATCCACAATTGTATTCTATCTTTACTTTTTAAGCAGATGAGTCGAAAATCCCCACAGCTCTACTAAAGCCAGTCATCCATTCCATCAAGACCAGTTATCTGTAGATTCTGCTCTCTCCTTTCCCAATGAGGTTTATTGAACAAAAGCCAACAGTAGGAAAACTATTACTTTGGTGTTTGTACATCACGTAGCCCCACTCAAGTAACCGATTTACCTCAATTGTTTACCAGCACTTTAGCTTTAGTAGACCGGCAGTGTATGAAGGCACCCCTTGTCCTGTCATAATAATACATAACATCTTTTAAGTCTGAAATAAAAATGTTGAATAACAATGTAAGTGCTTGGACGGTGTTCAAAGCTTACGACACCAGTCTAAACTATTCTTTTTGAGACATGTGCCTACGCAGGCCATATAACACGGCATCAACTTCGCCTGTGGACGTCTGGAAAACCAGTTAGTATAACTGAGCTTAAGTCGTGTGTTAGTTGAGTTTGAATTTATTAAATGATTCTTCGTTATCAAAACTAAATCGGGAAACAGACAGTACCTGTTAAATAAATATTAGATCAACTGAACTGTATTTCCCAACCGTCATCTATGTTTAAAGATTATTTCTGTTCATAAACATATGAAATAGACAATAACAATGACCTGGAAACTTGGTACAAAAGATCGAAATACTGACTATTTCATAAATACTAATCATGCTATCGCATAAGTAGAAATACAAATGTTGAGTTATATCCTTTGGACCTAACTTTCTATCATTGTTCACTAACAGGTTCTGTACCTTGGGGTTACATTATTACTTCAGTCCGTTCATACTTACGTTAACAACCGAATTTGTTTCATGTAGATTCAAAAGACCATTTGGTTCCGTATTTTTTTGTTGATTTACTCCGAAACCCTGCATAATGGAATATTTGGATTCGCGCATTCTTGCCTCGTAATCTCCTTAAGTAGTTTGTTTCTAGTCATTAGGTAATAAATCAAAATTTTACCCGGTCTTCTGTTTAAATGGTGTTTCAAAACCGCATGCAAATATCTACACTTTGTAAATAAATTACACTAATTCATGAACTATTGTCTTTTTCAATACATAAGTTTTGTACATGTCGTTCATATTTCATCCGTTTTTTATTTCTTGTTTTGTAGTTGTCTTGTGATAACTCGTTTTCCAGGGCTCATGTACCCTACTAGTATGATGATTTCATATATGAACTTATTTTGGTAAACCTCATTAAAAATCTGTGATATGTCTAGCCGATCGCGTCAAAGACGCAAGCGTTTTATCAGTGGAAGTACTTTGGATGAGACTTCTTCCTGTCGTGTAAAGAAGATGTTTATAAGCACCGTACATCATTCCAAATCACAATGTAATGAGCAACATACTTCTTTACCATCCTCACCGAATTCTCCTTTTTTGGACTCCGCAAATATACTATTCCATAATTCTGATATTGGCTTGAGCACATATGTTAGTCAAAAGGATATTCCTGTCGATCGTTCTGATCCAGTTGAAGATGAGAACTCATTCTCCTCAAGTATGTTTTCTGAAAAACTTGTACAGCCCGAACTAAATTTAGTTGCTGAACCTTCATCAACAAATGAACATGATTCTGTGAACCACAAGACTTCCTCTGTTTCCAGTAAAAGGCTATTAAATTCTCATCCTAGTGCTATGTCGGATACTGAATCAGATATCAACCTAGATAGAATGTTGATTCAGAGTGAAAGAATGGTTTTAACACCAACTCCAGTGGCAATAGACGATGCAGGCAGCTCTGAGGGCGAATATGAAAATGAAAGTCGAGAACCATCTGTACATCAAAATAATCCTTCAGTTCATCATAGAAATATATCCGGTCAGTCTGGTTTGGTTAGTGTTCCGTGTAACCGAACTTCGGAACTTGTTGAATCCGAGTCACGGGAAAGTATATATTCCAGCTCAGTTAAGGCTTCCGTTTTTGATACAATATCTCAGTCGACCGAGTGCAGTTCTAACAGGTCTGGGGGCTTGTCGGCACTAAACTCGAATTTAAACAAACCCCCTGGATTTGTGGAGTCATCAACGCCAAATTGTTTCGTTGCACTGGTAAACTGTAGTCCTCCACTTCAAATTCTATCCAGTCAGAAAATGCACAAAACCGTCAGTTGTCATCAGACTACTTGTTTTTCCGAATCTTCAGTTCTACCAAATACAGATAATATTGGGTATCATGATTCTTCGACTAGTAATGGGATGATTGTAACCTGTGGTCCTCATTGTTCTCACGGAAGCGCAAATGCAAGCCCTCATAGAAATGAAACTGAGCTGATAAAACAGAATCCCTGTAGTTTAAGCAATCAACCCCATGACTTTCATCCAGCAATAAACGTAAACGACTTTTCAAGAGAAATTCCTCATAATGAAGGTCTATTAAAACCAGATTCATTATCATCTTCAATCTCAGTCAGTAATAACAACTTTCTCCCTGATAGATATCAGCTGACACAAAAGTCTGATCATACCTCTTCATTTCCCCCTGGTAAGTTGAACTTCATTATGCTTGTTTTAAATAATTACTATGTAGAACACTTTGGAGCAGATAGTCATCAGTTTTAATCTTGCATAATATTGTGACTCCATTGCCTTAAAAAACAACATTATTCAACCAACATTTAGTGAATCAGTATAGAATCCATGCACTCAGCTTTAAGTTACACATTTTGTAATCCAAAGTAGCTTATCTAAATGCTCTCAACCATGTACAAACAAATTTAAACTCCAAGGATTAAAACCATATGTATCCCTTTTTTTCCGATTAATCAAACGGTTGTCCGCAAAGTTATTTCCTTTTTTTTACAAAGTACATATCATCTCTGAGATGGTGGAGATAGTTTGTAGCTCAGGTGGATGATTGTAGTGGTGTTTGGTTCTCTGAGCTGGAGCTCAGAGCTTATTATTTCCAAATTTGTGAATTAGTTTATAACCTTTGATTTAATCGTAAAATCATGTCATTTAATTGACACGTTAATCAATAAATACATGGAACTTTTTCAATACTGTAGGCACCAAGTTATCATACGCAAATCAGTTTGTTATAACCTCCCATTATATCAATTTAGGCAGCGGAGTAGTGTATTTTTCTGTTTAGATCTGTCCAGCATCCCTGTACAGTTAGCTAGCTATATGTTATTGTTAAGTGGTATTCGTTCGTACGTAGCAAATGTAGTTCGTCACCATCTTATTTTACTTATAACGCTGTTTGGAATGTCTAGGTGACTCATTCCCCATATTTTGATATGGTACTATTTCAAAAATCAATATTTCACTGAATGATAATGGATTTATAATTTTTGTTTCAGATCACATTTTCATCATTACTATTCCAAATTCCTCTGAGGTATCGCCTACTTTTGTTACAAAATGTAGATATTCTGAAAGTAGTCTCTGCGATTCTCCCTCGTCTCATATTGTAAATAATATTCCAAATCCAGAAGTTGAAAGTCACAGCTATCCACTTCGATCTCGTTTACGACAAGCATCTTTGCGATTGCAATGGCAAGCCATGCAAGTAGCTCCAAAGTCATTTGGGCAGTTACCTACAGAAGTTGTGTTTCGCATTATCCATTATTTGAGCATACAAGATGTATTTCGCCTTCAGCGTGTTAATCATCGGTTCAAATCTATCATTGAACAGTATCTTCTATTGGTTAAGCGCATTAATTTTAGTAATGGTCTTCCGTTCGCATTCTTACCGGATTCAATCACTGATGTAGCTCTAAAACGTATGTTATGTCGCACACCAGAAGTAACACATATTCTTGGCTTTTATCCTCGTAAAATAGTCGGGTCTTACCCATCCGACGGGCAGTACTCGAACTTAAGTTCTGGTCATAATGTACTAACCTACGGTGGGATCATTACAGCCTTTCGACTTTGTCCAAAACTTCGTTCAGTTGAACTGATGGATGTCGAATTGATGAGTGAATTGGTTCGTCATCTCCCACGCATCAAATTCCACGGCATGTTTCGAAACCGCCCAGATTCTTGGGATTGTGAATACGCAGTTCCTCTGCCACCCGAACCAAATGCAGAAACTATTTCAATGGATAGTGACCATGACTCTGTGACAAACCTTTCAAATTCACGTGATGAGTCACATGTCGATTCAAAGCCTAAGTCTCCTTTTGGCAGTTTTATTAGCACATTATTTTGTTCGGCAACTGCGGCTTCAGCGGTGGGAAGTAGTCGTGGTAAGCGAAAAAATTTGACTCGTTCGAAATCTAAAAACCAAACAGGGTGTGGATGTTCCATGCAATCTCTCCAATTTATAAATGCAGCACCTTCATTACCATTACGCAAGAATGAAAATACCCAGTCACTTACACAGATGGCTGTACAATCTGCCCATACGATTGCTTTACGTCATGCAAATTTCGCGAATTGGTTTGAACCCATCGGTGAGTTGCCCCTTGGCCAAGGTTCACCTTCTACAGTGCCTCACTTTCTGCCATCTCGGTTGTTCACTGCATTTAACGGTGGTCCTAGTTTCCCTGCTGCTCACGAAAATATCCCAATTAATCCTGTTCAACCTATGGTGCAGGACTGTTACTCCAGTGCTGTAGAATCTTTACGCAACATATCTGTTTCACATTTTTTGCAACCCGGTTTACCACCCATTGAAGCTGAGCTAATTGCTGTGGCTCCCTTTGGCTATTCGCGATGTTCTTTACATGGTGTAGGATCCGGCCGAAACAGTATTCGTAATGCTCATGGTCCAGTCTTGGCATTTGCTTTTGGAGCTATATTCGTCCCACCACAAGCAGTTTCACCGTTCATTTTGCCATCCAATAACGCGTCCAACTGTCGCTTTATCGATGCAAGACAGTATAATGCTGTTCTATTTGGAGGCAACCTACTGCGCGTAGGACAAGGACCTCATCTTGCCTTTGAGCGTATATTCAACTTCCCACACAATGTTAATCAGAATAATGCTCCACGTCAACTTCAGTTACACGATCAGGCAGGAGGGCGAAACCAACAAAGACAACAACCTCAATGTTTTCGTCGACCACGTACTAACATAACAAACTTGAATGCTTCTGGACCATGGCTAGTTTCTCCATTGCCTAGTCAATTACAATGGATTATTTTACCTCATGCTATTACAAATCTAACAAAGTTGGATCTTGTTTCTGTCGCTATTAGTGCTATTCCACGATTAGATAACATTAAATATCTACATCTGAAATGGGTAAGTATAAATTAGTTTTCTGAAATTATGTTATTTTATACGTGATGATTGGTCCTAAAAAATTATGTAGTACAAATACTTATGTTTTTTTATAATTTGGCTAAATTAGCACGAAGTAGTCTACAATCATTACGGCAAGTGCACTAATCTATAAGTCACATTGTTTTTCAGTTAGTTCTCCAGGGTTCCAAACACCATTTGTGCCAATAATCAAAACTTCATGTTTTTTTGGAATTGCTGAACGAACCCCATTTATACCGGAACTCAAAAACTACACACGTTCATGGTAACATTTGATGATAAATCAAACTGCTTAGAGTGATGCAAAGTTTAAACCTTTAACCTTATTGAATAAATATTCAATTCTTAAATCAATAAACCCCTAGATTATTCCATACATGTTAATTTCCGAGTCAAGTAATTATTATTATCTCAGTGATACAGATTCCATAATAAAACTAGCTAACTAATCTACTAACTAACTAAATCCTAAGATTTATCTTGTTTTCATATAATCAGATTGGAATTTTTCTGCATACATTTTTAAACGTAGTTTTGATTATTTGATTGTGGAATAATTTTTTTGATTGATCGCCGAATGCCTAACTAGTTCAATTTCAATGGTCTATTTATATTTAAACCTTTTCTTTTTTGATTCTTAAAATAATTCAGATAGCAGTGGAGAGAGTATCTCTGTAGTGGTAGTTAGTAATAATATAGTAGTACCTAACCATTAATTGTAATTAACTGTCTGATTTGTATGAATATTTGTAGTATTTCAAAACTACTTGTGTGTTAGTGAGCTATGTTTTGTGGTGCATGTGAATTTCAATGTTTATTAGGTAAAGTTGAATTTTAAAAATGCGCCTCTATAACTAACTACATCGTTCGATCGATCGATCGATCGATCGATCAATTTGCTAATAAAGCGATTTCATGTGGTCGTTTCTGCGAGAATTTGACCTAACGTATAACCCCCCATTCCTTGCATATATTCAATTTAGGTTGTATTCGCTTCAGCTGATCCATTCTTCAGTTTTTTGGCACCGAAATTGTATTAGTGAGCTATATTTTGTGGTGTCACAGTAGGTTGGACAAAAACCTAGGGGCAGCTAAACCAAAACATGGCAGAAATCCATGAAGTCACTGACAATTGGACTTGAGGCATGTTGGTTCGTGTAGACAACCTGGTTGGGGTGTGCGCGACGATACTAACCGATAGTTAGAGAGCTTGAATGACATGGCTCAAAATCTTTTGCAGTGACATAGATGCATCCGTTCTTTGTGTTCTCGCAAATCTTAATCCTCTAGGTTCTTCCTCACCTTTGTCTTTCCTTGTTTAAGATTATTCCACCGAATTGCACCTCTTGAATAATATCTTCGAACTCTAATATCTCCGACTGCTGCTAATACTTCTACTACATCTACTACTATGGGATTTGAATTGACAATTGCGTCTTTGTGCTAATGTGTTATGGCAACTTGAACTAATTGTACATAAGTACGAAGTTCTACTCTGTAACTAACTGGCTGACTTGTGTATATTAGAACACTTTTAGGCCCTGGAATATTCACACACATAAAAAACAAATATTTGTTAAATCATAACTCTGAATATAAATAACTTATTATCCAATGATAATCTTTCAGTAAAATAATTTTCTTTATTCACTTATCTTATTTACCATAGTATTTTTATAAGACATGAACAATTTCTAACCGCATTGATTTTAACTATTCTCTGGCCGATATATGTTTTTTTTCTTTTGTTGAATGCCATTCCGTTAGTATTATTGTGCGAATGTCATCACTGGGTTTTTTTTTCTGCTTCCAGTATTGAATAATTGTCTTCAACTATGCGTATTGATTGTAAAACTGGAACAAATTAGTTGTTTTAAGATGTCAATTTTGCTTGCGTCGTGGATCAATGCATACATGATGCATAAATGATTGCATCCTACTGAGTATCACTTCAATTTGTATCTCTGAATATAGAGAGATGTTCATTCATTCATTCATTATCGACCAATAGTCAGTCATTGACATTTTCACATAAGCCTTAATAATAATAGCATAAGTTACTAAATTGTAGAATGACAAATAAACCGTAGCTGATGCAAGTATATTTTCAAACACTATCCTATTACGCATTGAAAATTGATATTTTCTCATAGAGTGATTTATTTCATTTCATTTCCTATTATTTTATGCATGTGAATTTCAATGTTTATTAAGTAAAGTTGAATTTTAAAAATGCTTCTCTATAAATAACTAACTACATCGTTCGATCGATTAATCGATCGATCGATCAATTTGCTAATAAAGCGATTTCATGTGGTCGTTTCTGCGAGAATTTGACCTAACGTATAACCCCCCATTCCTTGCATATATTCAATTTAGGTTGTATTCGCTTCAGCTGATCCATTCTTCAGTTTTTTGGCACCGAAATTGCAATCATTTGTCATGAACAATTGTAGTACACCATCAAGAGTTGTTCGATTTGTTCGTATTTTCTCGGCTCTATCACGTGCTCCTCAGCTTACACGACTTGAATTGGTCGGTACACGCTTTATTGGTATGTCGTCTCTTATGTGTGTATTTGTTCTTGTTGTTTATTTCTTGTTTACACCACTCACTGTATTATTGATCAAAATGAAGGATGAACAATCAAAACTGTTCAATTTTTTTTAAAAATTATTATTTGTGTGTTTTTCCCTGCATTCACGTCATATATAATGCCAATGTTTCATTGATCAGTTAGTGAGCTAGCTTGCTAGCTAGCTAGTAAGTAATTTATTACATGGATTTCATTAGTGTGGTAAAAATGCTCATTTTCAAGGAGATTAGTATAATCCATGGTGTTTAACTGATAGATTTTATTGAAAGCGGTAAGTACTTAAAAGATGTTAGACCTATATTTTTTTTGGTAAGACCAGTTTAACAGGTGTTGATTTAAAGTTAATCGTTGGTTTATTATTTACTAAAATATCTAACTACCTACTAATCATTTTATCATCATCCTACCCGCTTTTGTTGTAGATGGTCTAATTGGACATATAATTGATGATCCTATGTCACATGGGCGTGGATTTCGTAATCTTCAGCGATTGGTACTTTCTAGTAACAAAGATGCATCTGAAGTAGATATTGGATTATTGCTGTTGGCTGGTCAACAATCTTTGAATCAAATAGCTTTACAAATGTTTCATACAAGAAATTCATTATTTGAAGGTCTTTATCATGCTGGTGCTGAATTTTCACGTCTTGAAAGTCTTACTCTTGGTAAGTTGATGGCTGTCATACCTTCCTAACATACACACACACACACACATGTATCTTGATGAAACTCATTTGAAATATTTAATGTTTATACACCATTGCGAATTTCTCCGACCGAGCAGTCCCAAATTGCAAATCTTACTCTGTTTTCTTCTATAGTATCATAAACCCAGATATGTAGGTGTAACTGCAAGCTGTATACGTAAATTTATAGATGACTACTGAGTTACACTAAAAAAATATTTCTTGCCTTTGCACGTTACTGATATTTGATCATAATTATCTTCAAAGCATTACTCACGTATTTTGAAACCATCGAGCCATCAGTACTGAGTTTAAGCTTAGCGTGCTAGGTAGGATTGGCAAATCGATTGAGATAGTGAATCTTCATCAACTGGTATAGTTGAAACATATGCCAAACCAACGCCTACCTCGATTTGCGATGTTAATCTGGTGTAGAAGCGAGTAGGTTGTGAAAAAACTAAAGACAGGGACTGAAAAACTAAACGAACCCCGTGAAGTCATTGATTGTTGAACTGAGGTGTGTAGGTAGATGTATATATCACTTGAATGGAGACGTTTGGTGGCGGTTCGCAATTGTTTATAATGACACGGATGCATTTACCCTTTGCCCCGAGACCTCCCTTTATATGTATTTTTTCTTTATGTCTGATTCTCCACTTTCATCATCTGACTGTTCAGGCGTTGAACGTTTACCGGAAGATTCACTTGTTGACTTAGAATATGCCGATAACATAGTTCTATTTGGTTAAAACGCTGACAAAATGCAGTCTTCTGATAACCTTAAGTAACAATGCAAGCGTGTTCGAGATGTGATTCTCCCCCTCGAAATGCAAAATGTTGCCTCAGAATTGTCTTGCATCGGCACCTAAACTAGTGACAGGGAATGAAGTAATGGAGCGTGTTGACCGCTTCACTTATCTTGGGAGTTTCATCAGTGCTGATGGCTTGGTTACTGACGCAGTCTCGGCATGGATATAGAAGGCTCGACTGGCTTTTGCCAATTCGGGTTACCTATAGCGTGGACAAGATATCCGTCTGCTAACCAAAAGACGAGTCTACTGCACAGCAGTTGGCTCCTTCCTGAATAATTTCTTCGAACCCTTATCTTTTCCCACTACCGTTACTACTTCTACTACCTCTACTACTATGAGATTTGAATTGACAATTCAATCTATATGCTAATGTGGTATGGCACCTTGAACTGATGTACGTACGTACGTACGTACGTACGAAGTTCTACGTTGTAGCTGATTGACTGACGTCTAATTCTCACTTCCACTAATAATAGTACTACTATTATTACTAGCACACCTTGGTAATTTCATCTCGCTAATGTACTAATGTTGTGTTGTAGGGACTTGAGCCGCGATGCACATATGTGTCAGCTTCTACGTTGCATATGATTGTTCAGTTGTTGGTTTTGTCTGCATTGATGCAGTAAATATAGTATCCATCATCGTGCAATATTTTCTTTACTTCGTATTCACTTTTTACAGTCGTTTAACATTTATTATTATCAAGTAAACCTGACTGAATTTACTGTATATATTATTACTTAATTGCATATGACACTGAAGTAAATGACACATTGGCATATCTGTTTTTCTACACTTACCCTAGTCTTAACAATTAATTATTTTACATTGTTTACAACTGTTACAGTATTTTATTCCGTCAATAATAAGAATAATATGCTTTTCTATGCAGTTTGCGTTTCACATAATTAACAATGTTACCAATGTTTAATCAAAACAATTTATGAATCATGTCGTTTTTTCAGATAACATATCCTTAATTCTTTTTCGGCATATCTTCAGTGATTATTTGTGCAAAAATGTCTAACTATCTAATATTGTTGTAATAAAGATGAGTTTTTATATTCGATCTATTTTAAATTTCTAGGTTATTTGGATCCTTACCAGTCACGTTTAACAGTATCTGAATTGATGAGTTTAGGTATTGGTGAGTCAGCTGATCATTTATCACCTGTTTGTATGATAACCGATTGGGGTATGGCGTTAGCATTTTTCATCTGCCCTCGGCTTGTAAATATTACCATTCGAAATGCACCATATTTAAATGATATAACACGATGGTTTTCAGCTGGATTTTGCAATGAAGAATCACTTCATATTCGACCGACAATTGTACCTTCTTCATCAGCTAACGACGATTCTACTCAACCAACTACCGATAGTCAAGAGAATCATCACACACAAACTAGTGTAACAGACAAGCTTTCAAAAACATATTTCTTACCTTTACGATCTCTCACATTGGAAAATTGTCCTGGAATAACAATTGAGGCAAGTTTGTAGAAGTTGATAAATTTTCACTGAAAGTCTGATATTTAAAGGCACAAACATTTTATGCAGTTAACCCTATAGTTTGTTCACTATCTTGCATATAAATTTACTTATAAGGTTATGTAATCTGATATGTTATCTAACTTGACCATAGCCTCAATTTTTACTGTCTCATTATTAGCAACTAAAATGGATTATCCAACATTTCATGCCACTAAGACAGTTCCAATAAGTAAGAGGGACAAATGTGATTTTCCTGAAAAATGGAGAGTAAATAGAATAAGTCAAATGTATCACCGGTTTGTCACAGATGAACCCCAAATTTTGTATGGGGAAAATGATACAATGTAGTCAAATTAGATCTAACAACCCAGGTCTTAATTAATTGGGAAATAAATGATCTATCAGCAAACTGCCTCAATTGCTGATGACATTTTGATTATGTGTAATTTTTGTTCATATTCCGTTCAAAACCACTTTTTCTAGCGTGTCACTCTTGATTTCGAATCATTCATCCCACTCTACCTTATTCGGCACAGAACGTGTAGTAGTATTGTAGTGAAGGAGAACACAGGTGGGGCAACCGAATCGTATTTACGAAAATTACAGAGTTACTCAGTATAATCGGAAAACCATATCGTGAATCGTTAATTTGCAAAATATCAGTCCATCATATCGAACTGGACTGTTCCTGTTACAAAACATCAATCCATTGTCACTATTCATGTGTTTCATACAAATTCAACCGTTTTCTAACTCTTCCTTTCTTGATCTTCCCCCATCTTCTGCTGCCAGACATTACGTTGACACTCACGTCATATACTACTTATAAGTAGCTCGCACCACAGTATCACCAGCCGTCACTTAAACAGTATTATTCAAAACAGAGACTGACGGACAGATACATCAGTTCAGGTTGCCATACCACATCAGCACAGAGACGCAACTGTCAGTTCAAATCCAAGAGTGATAGTGATGGTAGGAGTATTAGCAGTAATGGAGAAGATTAGGGAGCGAAGATATGATTCGAGAAGTATAATTCAATAAGATAAATTTACTGGATTTACTTAAAACTGGATATATGAGCCTGTAGTTGGCAAAGTTTTTTCATAAATCTCGTTTTAATAATTTCCTCTGTCACTGCTCTAACTAATAATGTGAAGTGTAGAAAATTTGACCAATACGCATTCCTATCAGGGGTTGTATTTTCTCTGACTGCCTGCTTCACAAACAAGGTGTACAACAGAAATGGGGATTTGTAATGACAAGAAAAATTCTCCTGCGATTAGCTAGTTCTTTTCTTTTCCAATATGCACGTGGACAATTGAACTGTTTCCAGTAATCGGTGATTCACCACCAGGCCTATGTAACTCATGTAATTCTTCAATTAATCTCTATCTTTGCTTTTTCCTGCTCTGCATTAAAACATTGACTGAATTAGTTAGAGCATCATTTCCATAAAGAAAAAAAATGCTTACCAATGATGATCACACTACATTTACATTTTTGTCAGTTTCCACAGTTAGCAGCATCGCTCATGCACGTACATTCACAAGTACAATTTTATATGTTTTGTTGAGATTTTTATGCTATTGTCAGATTGGTTTTACTGTATAAACATGTTTATTGCTTACTTTTTTTTTTGCTAAAAACACATCCACATTTTAAAAAAATGTGCTGTTTACTTTTTTCTCTCTTCTTTCTGTAGAATTTAGAACATATTTTACTTAATGGACATCCTTTTCCATGTTTAGAAACAATTGTCTTAAGAAATATGTTTATGCCTCAATATGGTGAAAATAAAAATTTCTTACGTACATCAAATCCTTGTATTGTTGTTAATCAACATATTACTACTACTACTGATGTTGATGATCAATGTATAGTAGTAGTAGATTGGCGTAAATTAATTCATTTATTATGTTTATCAGATTTATTGAGTACACGTCGATTAGGTTATTCATCTTTATCACCGGAAGAAGCAATTGGTTTAAGTGCATCAATACGTGAAGTGAATCATATGAATCCACCACGTGGTTTTCTACCAGATTCTTTACGAACAAAACCACATGATTTGTTTGTAAGTGATAATGATTTTTTGATTATTATTATTATTTATATTTTTCAATAAAGTTTTCGATATAATAATAATATTTTTTAAATGAATATTACTTATTTAATGAAGTCGATAAGAAATCAGACAACCAATGAAACAATGATTGCTCAAAGTTTAACATGAACACCGTTCGATGCCGGCCGTCCCCGTGTTCTAGTGGTTAAGCGTTCGTGCACAAAACCATAGGTCCTAACTTCTATTCCCACGAGTGGGAGTCGTGGAAGTGCACTGCTGAAGAGTCCTATACCAGGACTTGATGGACGTCCTCTAGTGCTTCCAGGTTTCTAATGTGGGGGTGGTCTAACAATGATTAATTCACGATTTCATTGTGTCAGTTCTCATTTCTGGAGAAAGAATCAGTGTAAATAAGTAGTAGTAAACAGCAGTACTGTGCACAACTCTAACTGTGCGTCATTTAAAAAAGGGTTTACTTAGAAATCTGATTTCAGTTCATCTGCTTACAATTGATGTTGACTCTTAGTGTCGTCTCTACGTTAACTGACACACACAAAAATTAGTAACATGCTGTTTTTTATAAATAGGGAAACCTCATCACAAGAAACTTTCACGTAGTTCGAAACTTGTGTACTTAGGTAAAGTCGGTTAGTCACCGAAAACGTAGAACTTGGTAAGTGCGTACATCAGTTCGAGTTACTATACCACATTAACACAGAGATACAGTTGTCAATTCGAATCCCATAGCAGTAGAGGTAGTAGAAGTATTAGCAGTATGGTTTGAAGATATAATTCAAGGAGTTTCATCCGGTGAAGTAAATTTAAAAAGAGAAAGATAAAAGCGATGCGGAATTCATAAGGTTAGAATTTGGGAGAAGACGAAGAATGGATGCATCTGCATCATCGCAAACGATTTTGAGCCTTGTCATTCAAAGTTTCTAACCACTGGTTACTGTTGTCTCGCGGACCCCAACCAGGTAGTCTACACCTACCAGTGAGGCTGAGTCCAGTTGTCAGTTAAGTAAAGTATAGGACTTTTCGTAGTTTCATGTTCATTTTGATTGTTAGTGTATATTAAATTGGGTTAATTATATATTTATTCAATGTTTTCTCTTAATCAGCTGTTTGCACTAGACCAGAAATTCAATCCTCCTCATACAAAAATCGATGGTGGCTGTCAATAAAATTCGAGACGATCATTCCATTCTATCTGGGACTCGTTATCCGGCAACAGTTCATAAAGTCATTGACAACTGAACTAAACCGATGTTAATAGGTGTAGAACTACCTGGTTGAGGACCATGAGATTAAAGACTTTAAATAACATGGTCCAATATCGTTTACAATGGCTCAGATATATCTATTCTTTGCTTTCCACCAAATATTCCTAGCTTTAGGATTCTTCATAACCTTTAATTCTCTTTTTAAATTTATTTCACTGGATTATATATTTTCCCTTATATTCCATCCATAGTCTTTCCCATTACGACTAATACTTCTACTACCCCAGCTATTTGGCCTGAAAACTTCATTTATCTGTACTAATATGTAGTACGGCAACCTGACCTAATTTTACAATTGACTGAATGATTATTAACAACCTATTCAATTGTAAATTTACTAGAAATTATTAATTCAAAACTTGATAATGTTACTTCACCATTCTAAATTACATCAAATCACTGGATAGAGTATTGAAACTTAATCAGTTGAGGTAGTTGTGTCATTTGTTGCATACGCCTAATTACCGACTGCCTCATCGAGCTTTGTTTTGCGATGTAGGAATAGGTTGGACGAAAGCTAGGGGCGGCCAGACCATAACATGTCATAAATTCATGAAGTCACTGATAACTGGTAGGTTTCGACTACCTGGTTGGAGCCTACGGGATGATGATAGTAAACGACGGTTAGAGACCTTGAACAACATGGCTGAAAATCGTTTTTGTAATGACGCAGGTGCATCCACTCTTTGTCTTTTGTCAAATCCTAAGCTTCAGAGTTTCTTACCACCTTTATTTCACTACATTCTACTTCTTGAATAACATCTTCAAACCCTAATCTTTCCGATTACTGCTATTGCTTCTACTACCTCTACTACTATGGGATTTGACGTGACAGTTGCATCTCTGTGTTAATGTGGTATGGCATCTTGAATTGATGTACGTACGTGTGAAGTTCTATGTTGTTGCTAACTGACTAAATGAAGGCAGTACATGACCACTACATTATTCTTAAAATATTGATGAATACGAATTTCAATGTTTGGTTAAGTGAATTTTAATTAAATCAATAGTCTGTAGTACTTTTTGTAGAAATCAAATCTTTAACTATAATAATTTTCTTTTTTTTTCTTCTTCTTCTTCAAAATAACAGTGTTCACTTCGTGCACATACCTACTTGAATAATTTATTGGAATTAGACGGTTCCTGTTCATGGTCAGCGTCAACACCGACCAGAGTATTTAATACACTGTTTTCAGACAACCTCTATATCCCGGTGTCAGATGATCCCGAACAATATTCCAGCAAACCGGTTAACGATAACAATAATAATAATAATAATACTGACAATGAAATTGATGATAATAATGATCATGGTTTTATGTCACGTTCTACACAAACATGCATTTGTGGCATGTTAGAATGGGATGTTACACTGAGAATGTTACAATCACAACTGGTTACTGATCAAAAAACTATGAAAAGTAAATTTATTTCTCCGGACAATTTGAAAAACAATCAACATTGTCATCCTGTACGTGTTGACACTGAAACTAATCGAACTAATGTTCCAAGTAGTAGTAGTAGTAGTAGTAGCAATAGTTCACATTCTTCTGGAAAGAATTTGTTATTATTACGTTCAACAGTCAATCAAAATAATGCATCCACTTCGATCACATCATCTCAATTACAACTTGGTGGTTCTTTAGCATTTCATCCATTTCCTCCATCAATTCAACATAAAAATTTCTATCGAATGATTACTATGTCTGAATGGAATCAATTAATTAGTAAAATGTCTACACCATTTGGTCTTCCATTATGTCAATTGATTTACCCAGTGACTGGTTCCAATGAATGTTCAGGCTGTGCTTCTGATCCATTACTTTTTTCTCAGGGTATTTCAAATTATCAAGTAAGATTTATGAAGAGAACACTCTTGTCATATCGTTTTTTATTTTTTTTGTTATATACTCGAGTTGATGAGGATTCATTTGATTACATTTCAAATTCAAAATAAACTGAACAGTATTTGAATATCTACTACAGCTTGTACGTGTTTGAAAGTCAAGTGCTTTATTAATCATTATTAAGATAGTACTGTGTACATTTGTTTCTGGTGTTTGATCAGCTTTATTTAACGCTCCATTGATTGGACTTAAGATTCTCATCAGCAGTTCTGATGACCTGGTTTCTGACGGGATCTCGGCACGGATACAGAAGGCTCGACTGCCTTTTGCTAACTTGCGTCACTTATGGCGTCAGCGAAATATCAGTCTATTAACCAAAGGATGAGTCTACTGCACAGTAATTCGGTCCATCCTACTTCATGGGTGTAAAATATGGCCAGTAAAAAGCCAGGATATTCGTATGTGGCTGGTGTTCGCTCATCAGTGTCTTCGAAGCATTGAACGTATATCCTAGGGCTGAAGTAATGAGTCTTCATCAGTTGAGTTGGTTGGGGCGTGTGTTAGTATGCCTAACCACCGATTGTATCGACGAGCGATATTGTCTGATGTAGGGGTGTAGACTGGAAGAAAGCCAGAGGTGGACAAACCAAAACATGCCACTAGTCCATGAAGTCGCAATCGGACTGAGTCATGTCAGTAGGTGTAGACTATCTGGTTAGGGTCTGCAAGACGATAGTAGCCGATGGTTAGAGACATTGAATATCATGGCTCAAAATTGTTTGCAGTGGCGCACGTGCATCTATTGAGTGTCGTCTCTCAAATTCTAGCCCTTTGAATCCCTCACGACCTTTTTTCCCTTTTTAAATTTATTTCACGGGATCAGATATCAGATACTATATTCATTTAATGTTATTCTCTCAGACAACGGATATTAATCGATTCACTTGTGTCTAGCTAATTGTTTACATTGTTAATTAATTAGCCTCTAAATGCCCCGATTACGGCTCAAAGTGTGGAGAGTTCGCCTCTTCCTTTCAAAATACTTTCATACGGCTAGATGTTTATAGCTACTATCAGGAAGTTTTAATTAGAGCATCCACCATAGGAAGTTGGAAAACCTTAATCCCGAACCTTTGGTTTATTTAGGCTTCGCGATCCTAAGGAAATAAATGACTTGTAAACCGACTACCATTAGACTAAATCTTCTGACGTTGCTTCACTGCCGCGTGAAATTAGACTAAGGATCGAGAGCTTATATATTGGCTCTTCTGAGAAAACCATTTACTTCGTTTTAGACACCTAGGCAGTATTCCGACCCGCATGAAGATTCCGGTGCCCCTTTTGTACCAACATTAATCTGTTTAAATAAATGAAGAACTGAATAGTTAACTATCCTCTAACCATTGATTGACGTGTGAAATAAAAGATAGTTGTGTAAGAACCACTCAAATTGTGGTGCTGGAATTTCTACCACTAAATTGAAGGTTTATTAAGTCACACTCCATCCATTACGTATGCACGTAAACACGTCAATTTGATATACTTGAACTATTACGCGTTTACCTTAGTCGGAAAACGAGAGCGAGGATCAAGGATCCGGCGACACAACAGGTTACTCTAATCCGAGCGTCCCAAACCCCCATTGAGTAAAAGAAGAATACTTGATATGAAGTAGAACATGTATTCTACGATAATCCAGAAAGTACGAGATCCGAGCGCAGAAGAGAATCAGGATCCCGGACTAGGGATCCGAGTCATAAAACGTTACAGATAATGCGTATTTATGCAGTTGGGTTGAATAGGAAGTCTGTGACATTGACAGTAAGAACGACCAATAGGAACAACATTTGAAGTGACATTGATAGTCAGGACTATCAATAAGAATTGACCAATAGAATTAGACTTAAAAACAGTTATCACTTCTACGGTGTGGGCAGCCGGGAAGTGACAACCGCCCTCATACCCGTTACAGCACACGAGACCAAATTGATCAAAATCAAATCCTTCGCTTCCTATTACTTCTCTTATCTCCATCACTATGGGATTTGATTTGACATTTGCGTCTCTGTGCTAATGTGGTATGGCAACATGAACTTATGTACATACGTGCGAAGTTCTACTTTGCAACTGTCTGACTGACTGACTGCAATTTCACTAGTCCTCACACCTAGGATATGACTCAAAGATAAATCTACAAACCTCTATCTATTTTAAATGAGCTAGCATATGTTCCTTGTCCAACACAGTTCTATGAGTGTGTTTTCCTAAAGACTAATTGACTTGGAACTTCATTATCTGTTGTATATAAGTCAGAATAGAAAAGCCAGTAACAATCTTGTTTTAGTTCTTTACATATATTCCCTATGCAAAAATTAAACTGTATCAGTATACTACTCATTCAGTCATTAATTCACTGTTTTATGCAATAAATAAGTCGTTGTAGTCTATTTTTGGCTTTCAAGGGATTGTTTTTTTGTTGTCTTGCTTTGTTAATATTATTTAGATATCTGCACCGTGTAAATTCATCAAATCACCATTGAGTCATGGTTATACAGCTACAAAATGGTTAGTTCGTGATGCAACATTGGATACTAGTGAATTAAGATGTTTTACATTGCCAAAACCGCAAATTCTTAAAATTTTCCAACCTTTGAATTCTATGCATAGTTGTTTAACTTCATTACACTTTGAAAAAGTAAGTCAATCAATTAAAACACATCATATTTATTAAAAATTAGTAGTTTTTCTCGATTAAGAATAGAAAAAGTAGTGTAGTGTAATATGTATGCGTATACTAACTGATATATATAAATATAGATGTGTTGAGCCCACCTCGGCTTGTTCACACAGCTTTTAGACAAACTAATTAAAATTCCGTTCTTCTTGAGTAGTTACTCACACCTTTTCTATTCAAAACATTATTGACTCGTCTTTCAACCTTGTCAGTCAATTATTCTCTCATAACCTTGGTTATTGTGTGTGTGTGTGTGTGTATTGTTTGCTCCGCTTATCACAAATCTGTAGTTTGGTTTTGTCTGACTATGAATAACAAGCTAAGTCATGATGCTTCATCACACTGAGTTGATTTACTTGCCTTCGCTTTGCTTGTACATTTGTATTCTCATGTCTGTCTATGTGAACGATTGCGTGAAATTAGCTCATCCAACGGCATATGTATTTGGTTTCTTACTATCCCCGTCACACAAACGAGGTTCACCTAAAGTTTTATTTCATAGCATATTTAATAATTTTTCTAAGCAGTAATCACCAAAGTGGTGAGCCCTACTTCGAATTCAATGCAGCCCATTCATTATATTATATACAGTTAGTTGTCTGTAAGAAAAAGAGAAAAACTGAATGTCTGCGTATTATTACTGTAACCTATTTGGAACCTTGTCACCTTATAAGGTTCAAAATCTTTGTAGAAATTTAAAATGTATATATATATATATATACTGTTGATTTTATACCCTATTATGGCTCATGGTTTCCAATCAGAGAGTTATCGAGCGGTAGTTTATCATTGATTGTGAAGGCATTCCACTTTCAACCATTAAGTCACATGTTCGAGAGCCAAGCAAACGATTATTGATGGGGTACTAATTATCTCATAAATTGTATGTAACACAAAAGTTCACACCTCTCAGATCAGTTCTTTGCAACGATTACTGATCTTCTAGACTGATCTCGTATTTTGATTTGACCCACCGTTATCGATTTTCAAATCTAATCATTGCAGTGTAGGCTATTTCAATGTATAACACCTTGCTATAAGATGTAAAATACGATGTAGTCGGTCGACTTGATCGATGCATATTTGTCGGGGTAACGATTGCTTAGAAAATTGAACCATCGACGAAACTTGGTAGAAAATATAATCGCTTTAACTTACACAAAAACATACATAATTTGAAGTCATTCAATGCATACTGAACTTCCTAATAGCTCTCAGGAATCGAACCACGGGATTCAAGTGGCCTAATTTTACGGAAGTTCACAGCCTTATCCATTGGTCTACTATTTTTTGCCGGAAAACTGTCCTATTAACCTCAGCATTATTCACTTAATATTAGAACCATATTCACTTGTGACATATTGAAGATGTTTATGATTAAATATCAACCACCCACACCTGTCCACTATTTTGATAGATCATGTTTCCCAGTCATATAGTAATTCAAGGGGTATTCATTCTTTTATATACACATAAGAACATCTCTCACGTCCCACAGGTTTGGGAGCAGTTAACTACGAGTCGAGTAAAACAGTTGTATCTGTCTCAATCTTGCATCAACTACCGATTTACCTGAGGTTGCTGTAACTTAAAATGAATGAGATGATGGACAAGCTCAACTGTTTTACGTGTACGATAGATAGTGTTGGTTCATTGTACTACGAGTTCGTTGGATTGTTTATATATACTACTACACTACTCCCAATAGGATACTATTTCTCTTTGTCGTATAATTTTTCCTCTCGGACATATTACACGTGTGTGTGTGTATGTGTCTTTGTAAACAAGACTCTTTCATTTAAACTATCACACATCCCGCTAATATGAAATGATTCATCATGTGTAAATGCATCCATTGATGCGTAAATCACTCATTATGCCTTTCACATATGCACACACACACACACATAAGGAGAACTACGGCTTTAAATGGGTATTAGTTTTATTTATTACATTTGACTACCATTGATTTGGTGATTATTTCTATCCTGCCCTCTTTTACAGTATTTCCGGGTGAATATGAAAGGATAGTTGTGCTTTTCTCCTTTTTATTTTCATATGATGGGAAGGGATACAGTGGAATTTTCATAGTTGACTATTCCATTTTATATTGACTAAGATTATTGATGATGGGAAGGTTTACCCTCATCATCACATCACAAACTGTGACATCGATTTGAAAAATGAATTTCACCAAAAAAAACATTCAACAAGCATTTACATATCAATATACAACTGTTTCACACTGGTGTTCACATTTCAATCGTCTATTCTTTGATAACTGACACATTTGTCTTGTGTGAAATCCATTGGGACAGTGTACATCGCTTTCTACAAACAAAAAAAAATAGTCAGTGAAATATATTACTCTCACGCTGTCCTCTTACCATATAACCAATCACAGTCCAGAACTGCATGAATTTTATTGCTTAAAGTTGATATTCTACACTTTTATCACACACTAACAACTGTTCTCTTAGTAATTTCACTTTGTGGCGAATTATGCTGGTTTATTCTGTAACAATTAGTCAGTTAAACTGACTATCACCGAAAACACTAAATTTTATCATAGACATGCTCCTAGAAATAACCTTATCCTCGTCTGAATTTTCAGTAGACATTTTACCAGGTGGATCGCTTATTGACTTACAATATGCCGATGACATAGTCCTACTTGGTGAAGACGCTGACAAAATGCAGAGTCTTCTGACCACCCAAAGCAACAATGCAAGCATGTTCGGGATGCGGTTCTCACCCTCGAAATGCAAAATGTTGCTTCAAGATTGAGTTGCATCTGCACCTGAACTAGTGATAAGGAGTGAAGTAGTCGAACGTGTAGACCGCTTCACTTATCTTGGGAGTCTCATCAGTGCCGATGGCCTGGTGACTGACGAAATCTCAGCTCGGATACAGAAGGCTCGATTAGCTTTTGCCAACCTGCGTCATTTATGGCGTAGGTGAGTTTGGACTTTCTACGCTTATCTCACTGAATCATACTTCTTAAGTAACATCTTCTAATCCTAAACTCTCCGATTACTCCTAATACCTTAACTACCTCTTCTACTATTGGATTTGAATTGACAATTACATCTCTGTGCTGATGTGGTATGGCGACATGAACTGATGTACTTACGTACGAAGTTCTACGTTGCATCTGAATGACTGACGAGTCAGTTTAACAGAAAAGCAATTGACTCATGTGTTGATGTTGCTCATGGTTTCTACTCGACAGTAAAACTTTGCTGGCACAAGCTAACGGATTTGATCATGTATCATCTCTTTTCACATCCGAATTATAAGAACTGTTTTTTCGTACAGTCAAACGTCTACTTCATATGTCTTATGTTTTATCATTTATAGGTTGGTATTTCTCATATAAATTTATGTGAAGCTCCACATTTGAAAAATATCACTTTAGAGAATTGTTCTGACCTAAGAGCTATTCTATTCGACAATTCTTATGCTTCACCAGCCGATTGTAATAATAATAATAGCAATCATCATCAAACTATCAATGATGTCAATCGCAAAACTATCGATCGATTCCCAGCACTTCGACGTATTCGAATTATTAATTGTCCGAAATTTGCAATTTATAATTTTCTCTCCGGTGTTGGTCAACTTTATCCTGCACACAATGAAAATATATCCATTACATATAGGCAAGTGTTTTTTTTTTGCTTTCTTAGTTTTCCACCATCATATTGGGGCCGGCCAGTACAAAACATGGCACCAGTCCATAAAGTCACTGACAACTGAGCTTAGCCATGTTGGTAGATAGGAGACTACTTGGTTGGGTTACGTGAGATGTGATAGTAACCGATGGTTAGAGAGAGAGACCTTGAGTGACATGGCTCAAAATCGTTTGGAATGGCTCAGGGGCATCCATTCTTTGTCTTCTCGCAAATTCTTAATCTTCTGAATTCCTCATGACCGTTTTCCTCTTGTTAGTGGGACATAGATGGAATTAAAGCATGACTACGTCGCTGCGCGCTGGTTGGCTAATTTCCTATCCGATCAGCGCCTGATCGAGTCTTGGAGAACAGGGTAGAAAGTTATCGTGTTGTTAGCTGCACTCTGATTGGCTAATCTAATCCAGTCGATCACGTGAATTTCTATCCAGAAGCTTCTCATGTAAATGCTATAAATAAACTAACGTTGTATTTATTTTTGCCTTCGCCTTCGCCATCACCTTTGGCTTCTTATTTCCGTTTAACCTTGCTATTTTGGAATATAATCTTTTCCTGTTCAACCGTGTTTTTGATTCTTTGGAACTTGTCCAGTGTATTGTGGTCAGAGAATACTAAGCAATAGGATTTAGCTGGGAATCATTTAAGCAAGCGTTACAACATCAGGTGACCTGAATGCCCTAGAATCTATGCCTAGAGTGGTCGGGAGTGCTCAAGAGTTCCTTCCATACGAGGATGGAATAGCTGTGAACAGGTTCCTAGTGTTCACTGGTGTTGTCCAACTAAATTCAGTCCATGATGTAAACTGTTGGGAATTCGATAATCTTTACAGAACTCTCTATAGTCTTAATGTCATCAGATATGTTGTGATTGATTTCGATGTACAAATTTTTACTACTTCACCACCATTAATTTGTCTATATGTGGAGTAAAACACATCAATAGTTACTTTCAACGTTTGTTACTTTATTTATTCAAGCTTGTTACCCCGTAGTGGATCATAGGCTGCCAAACAGAATTCTTCGACCTACTCTGCTTTGTGCCTAAATTTCCAGTTCTATCCAATTCCTGTTCATTCTTTTTACGTCTGATTCTGATTCTCGTCGTAATGTGTTCTTTGGTCTTCCTGTTTTCTTTTGTACTTTAATTCCAAGTGAAGGTTTGTCTTATGACGCAGTCGGATACATTCCGTAATGTATGTCCTGACCACTTCCAGCAATCATTCTTGATTTTTTTCCTCGACTGGAATCTGATTTATTCTATTCCACAGTAGGTTGTTGATGATGATGTTTGGCCAATGGATTCAAAGTATTTTTCGTAAACAACTGTCAATCAACACCTGTATCTTTTAGATGATGACTTTCGTGGTTCTTCAGGTTTCCATTCCATACAGTGGAACTTTCTTGATGTTTGTATTGAAAATCGTCACTTTAATGTTGGTTATTAGTTGTCTCGAGTCCCAAGTGTTCTTCAGGTGTAGAAATGCGGCCGTTGCTTTGACAATCCTCTAACCCCATGCCCAAGCTTTCTTTCTGGGCTTCGAACGTTCAGGAACCGCAGAAAAGCTCCAGGTAGAGCTTTCAGCGTTTGTAAACATCTTCAAATGGTGGTCAACTTTGATAATTGAACAGTTGTATTCCAATAAAAAGAAGCAGTTCTATTTTAGTCCATCTTTCTACCGTTTTTAGGTTATAAATCAATCTTTTTTCTTTCTTTTGTAGACCATTTGGACAATATAATGCTCAGGTAGAACGAGCATTATGGGATTATTGTCAACATGCGCATATACTTATATCACATGACTATAAAATTTGGGAAAGTGAACGTGCTATGGAAGAGTTTCATTTGACATTTGATCAGTTGTTTAGAGAAGTGATCAATTTCTCTGAGTAAGTTGATATTTTGCTGGACGTGTGTGTTAGATGGAATCCACATGAAAATCATTTATTGAAATGATGTCCTCCTGTTTGTGATTGGATTTAAATTGTTTTTTAAAACATTCTGTTGAAATATCATTGGAAAGGCAGTTGAGCTGATAAAAATTCAATCTAAAAGGACTGATTTTGTTAAACACTCGTAGGACAAAATCGAAAATGCAACAGGATTGTCACTGGCTTCTGTTATCGGCCATGTCTGATAACGTCTCAAGCCACTACGTCGAATTCACGCCACTATGCCTGATCACACATTGACGAACTTGTGCATTTTACTAACATGGTGTCGTCACTAAATATCAACAATCTTTCACAGACAGCTATGACCAAACACAGATTCGCTTACATCATCAACTGTGACCGGTTAGGTTTCGCGAGTGCAAAGTGACACTACTCTGATCACCACCCTTAACAAACAGACTAATATCACAACTAAGTGAAAAATGACCGAGATTGGCATTGTTCATTCTGGTTTTCGCTGAACATCAATCGATCTCATCACCCATACCACCACCCAGATACTCGAAATTTTCGACAGCTCATTACTGGCTACCATGAAGAGTGAATGCATGCGTGCATACAGTAGGTCCTGTCATTGTGGGTCAAGTATTTTGCATTCAGAAGTTACAAAGTATATTCTGTTACGCTCGTCACTAAGTGTCCTTGAGGCTATTACGAGTTTACCTTAGTCGATAAACACGAACGAGACTTTTACCAGCGTCCAGGTAGGCTACCTTGGATCCCCGAATAGAGTGAAAAGACTTTGTATGCGTAGAAAGTATATTCTACAAACACCCAGAAATCACAGTACAATCAAGCATACAACTCTCGTTTATTTATACATCATAGAAACGTCTTTGGGACGGTTACGGAAATAGCACACTAAAATACACAGCAGCCAATCACAGCTATGGATTTTCCTGATGGGAAATGAAATCTTAAGGTCAACTGATCAGCCCATGCTCGCAAATGTGAAATCCAAAATTAGGGCATTTATCAAGCGAATTTCGGGGATATAACATCCCCAACAAATTCCAACAGCACTTTTGTCACGTAGGACTTTCCTCCAGAAGCTCTAAACACCATGATCCCTTGTAATAAAGTCATTTCAGAAGTGAGCGTTGACTATTCACTTTTGATTAAAACTCAGCGTTTGAGGGTCTTTTTTCATTAGTAATTATCTTCGTGTATTCAGTACAATCGATTGTTATTTTTTCCTTATCTAATGAAATAAATAGTAAAGTGTTTGTAAATTTCACATAATTCCTTCGTATTGTAACTGTAAAGTTGTGTAAATAATGCACTTTTTTACAAATATTTTCTCCCTCCATCTCTAGTATGGTTATTCGTCGAGATCTCCTTCCTATGTATCCTCACCTAACCTACGGAAAGTCTACAAAATTCTGTTTATAAACGCTGTGAATATGGTAGGCAACATTATTTTGATAGTTGAATTAAAGTTTTTGTTTTGTAATATTTAATCTGAACGTTTTTTTAATCGTCCCATATATTGTGAAGTGATAAAATTACGTTAAACCCGTCAATACGTAGTTAGACAAATTTATGCCTTTGATGATGGTTCATGGTCGGTGCGAAACCTCAGCCAATCATTTCCGGTTATCTAAGCCCCTAACTCAGCGTTGCAGAATCTCACTTAAGAATCGGTTGTGAAATATTTGGGCTAGTAAGCTACTACACATTAGAGAGGTGTCCTAAATATTCTTAGGTTATTTCAGTCATGTGAAATCACTATTGTATAATCTCATATTTTGTATATGTGAAGAGATATAGGTAGGTTAGTTATGGTTAAAACATTTGACATTCATTTAGTCAATCAAAGTTAAGATCCGAATGCATCTATCGATACTGTCATAACACTGAGTTGTCATCCATCTTTGTCTTAGAGAAGATGGAGGCGATCAATACGATTTTCTGTGACTAGATTTGTTGCTACTGATTATACTTTCTGAATAATTTCTTCAACCTGTAATCTTCTCCATTACCACTAATACTTCTACTATCTTTGCCACTATGTGATTAAACTGACTAATGTGGTATAACAACATGAACTTATGTACGTACGTGCGAAGTTCTATGCTGTAACGGACTGACTGATATAAGTGACATCAAGGTCATAGCAAATAATCCTTGTGAAGTGAATTATTGACCTAGAAAATCTACTTTTTTCTCTTCTATCAATTGTACTTTTGGATTTATGACTATTTGTGTGTGTCTTGTTCAACCTTCATTTTCGTTAAATGTTTATTTTTTTTGTCCCTCCACCCGGCTCTTCCTCTTTTTTCCGTCTAGGTTTAGAATGGATTTTATCACGATATACCATGGGTACATGACATGAAGTATGTTGTTCATTGCTTAGAACAACTGAATTGCATCGATCATCATCTGATCAAACAGATCATGCTGTATGAATTATTATCAGAATATCAAGCAACAATGGAAAATTTAAAAATTCAACGACATGGTATACATTATCATGTACAATATCGTAATGTTCATTCAACTATTCAAACATCATCATACACTAATACAAATGATACTTCAGAAGATTGTATAGATAAGAATTATTAAATTATCTTTTACCATGTAAATCAACATTTATACAAATTGGCCATATACTGAAACTAATCTCCTAGCTATGCATCCTTCCACTGATCTCAATACAATGAAAAATGATACTTTCACGGATGTAAATCGTCTACTTGTTGTTTGACGAAAAATTCCTCATCGTCATCATCATCATTATCTACGCATCATTCACAAGCAAAACTAATGAAACATGATAACCATAATAGCAATAGCAATAATAATATTGAATTTTTATTTTATCTTGGAAACGTTTATTACTATCACAAGAAGAAGAACTATCTAATGTGGAATGTTTGGATGTTAACAATTGTCAAATTTACCCTGTCATTATTATTCATAATTATAATTATAATAATATTTCAAAAATCTTTATCTACTAAACAAAATCATTGTACATTGAATTTTCAACGTCTGATAATCGTTTGAAAAAATTGCCTTTATTATCATCGCCCAGTGTTCTTCATCGTCTTCATCATCTTCTTCCTCCTCTTCGTGTTCCTTGTCCCAACAACCACAATCATCATTGTCTATATCTTCTTCGGTGCGACTATTATTCCTACTCCTACTACTTCTACTTCTACTAATACACATGTGATCATTCTGTTTTATATCTGTTCATAGCGTAAACGTTCACTTCCTCCAACTAAATTATTTTCCAGTTCTTGTAAAAAGTTTAAATCTAAACAAAAGTGATGATTATTAATTAGTACTGTATTATCTCTCATTTAATATTCATTCAATGGTTTGTATGGTATGTGTCCGTTTGTTTGTTTGTTTGTGTGTTTGTTGGTTTTTCTCAATATTGTGATGCTTGTACCGATCGCTCATAATAAGGCGTATATATATATCTATACATATTATGTACTTACTTACTTACTTACTTAGTTACTTGCCTATCTACCACCTACCTATCACTTGTGTGTGGTGTACGTGTGTTTATGCATTCTATTGCTTTTCTGAATGTTGACGCGCAGCACACGCACACTCACACTGTTGCTGTATTTACCTTCAAGTGGAACTATTTTCCCCCTTGTTTCTCTTATTTCACCTTTCTGTTTTTTGTTCTTACCTTGTTGTTAATCCATTTCTCTTGTGGCTCCTGTAAACCACTACACACACACACACACCCAATTTTATATATAAACATTGTATACAATTTGTTGGATTCAATAACATGTTTGTCTTAAAAAACAAAGAAAATGCACTTGACGCGCACATCTCACTTTTGTTTCTTGCTCCCCTCTCTGTGTGTGTGTGGGTGTGTGTGTGTGTATTGATCCATACTACCGCCACCGCAACCACCACTGTGTCCCCTGTTGTTGCTTGTTGACATTGATAATCATCATGTTTAGAATAATGTTGTATATTGTTTGAATAATAATAGTAATATTATTATTATTACGGTTATTATTATTATTATTATTATCATTATTATTGTTATTATTATTATTATTATGACTAATTTCAACACACCAGCCATGCTCCTCCTAATGAGCAGCTAGCAGCAACCACTTGTTTGTCTATGCCAATTTTTTATTGGACTAAATATATATAAAAATATATTTTCAAATTTCACGTACATGTGTGTGTGTGTGTATGTGCATGCCGTGTTTTGTGTGTGTGTTGAACTTGAGCTTGTGCGATCATCCTGCTTTTTATCGGCTTGTATGATGTGTTGTTGTACCGACCAGTCTTCTATATGTATAGGGCTGCGCCTTTATTATGTACTACAATGTGGTGATATGCACGTGTACGCCTCGTGTTTACTACTGACCATGATATCGCAATTATAATTAGCATTCATTAGAAATCAAAAAGACAGATTACTTAGAGAGAGAGAGAGATTGTGTGCGTGTGTGTTTACTATGATTGATTGATCAAAAAGAACTATGAGCAGCAGCACCATCATCGATAAAATTATTATTTTTTATCTGACCTAACAGTCAGAAAATAACGAGAAGTAAAAGCTTTAAGCTAGTGATAGTTTGAGATGGTAATAGAGAAAAGAACAACTAGCACATTGAAATACGTGAAAACATGTATAGCATTGATTGATTAGTGACTGTTGCATGGTACTTTTGAAAATCATGAATCGATCAATGTTAGACAGCGTCCACGGTCTTGCGCTCAACCTTACCCACTGTTCAGCGCGCTAAGACCGAAGGTCCTTGATTCGAACCCTGCCGAGTAGCAGGGGTTTTGTTCTGGATGCGCACTGTCGTTGATGAGTCCCATACCGGGATTCCTAATGGTGGACTAACATTGATCGATTCATGATTTCAATAAACAACAACTCAACAATCTCTTTTTACCCTTTCATGCAAAAGAGAGTTGTCTCAGAAGATCAAAGTGCACGGCGTGATCAGAGTATTTTCAAAATACTATTGAATATGTAGCAAAAATACTCAATAACAATGAGTAAGTTGTAAACAAACATACTTTTTTCATCAGTCCATCATTAAAAAATTTACAATGCAGTCTTACGATATTATTATGTACTGTTTGGTAGTTATATCTAGTGACCAGTGCAGTCCATTCTTGCCGGTAGTAGGCAGTTACCGTACCAAGGACAATAGGTGAGGTTGATCAATACACTGGATTGATTGATCAGAGTTTAGACATTAACATTGTTGGATGCCTGTTCAGTGGTCTAAAGTTTAGGTGTTAGTAGGCGCGAGACCGAAGGTCCTGAATTGGATTCCTGCATCCACAGTTTGCGGATGTACACTTTTGTTAAGTCTCATAGTAGGACTTGATGGCCGTTCAGTGCTTCCAAGTTGTCCTAATTGTACATTGATAATTGTGGTTAACTATTAGAATCATCATTCCTATGCTTTGGGTGGTATTAGTAATAATTATTGCAAATATAGTTCGAATAAATGTTTTGTTTTTTACTAAAAATGAAATAAGAGATTATGACAATAGTCATAAATTTGTAGAGAATACAAGTGTAGATATCTGTCAAATCACTAAGTAATTATTAGTTGGTTTGGCTTTAACAAAACAATTTGAAATGTTGAATCCAGTTAAACACTTCTACATATTTGAATATTGTTTAAAGAACTCCAGGCGGAGTTCTCTGGAAGATATAGAAACCTTGACGTATCTGAGCAGTATCAGTGATAAACAAGGTGAGTCTGATGCCGATATGTAGGCGCGAATAGACAAAGCAAAGCCAGCATTCCTACAATTAAAGAAAATCCTGGAACTCAAAACGACTATCAACCAACACCAAAGTCACAATTTTCAATACAAATGTCAAGACACTTCTACTGTATTAGGCGGAAACTTGGAAAACCACGAAAGGTATCGTGCATAAGATACAAGTGTTTATTAACAGAGTTGTCTACGCAAAATACTTCGGATCCGTCGGCCAAACAACATCAGCAACAATCTACTTTGGAAGAAAACAAATCAGGTTACAGATGAAGAAGAAGCTATCAAGGTTACTTTGAAATCATGAGATGATCAATGTTAGATCACCACTATTAACCGGAAAGGTCTGGACTACCGTTTCTTCTTCGTATAGGAATCATCAGCAGCTCCTAGTGGGAATCGTATCTCGGAGGTTTGGCCTAAACTCTAACCACTGAGACGGCCGTGTTTATGTATAGCTTGGAACGGTGTTCGATCGTGTCATAACTGAAAGTTGTTTAAGAATTAACAACGAAATTGTGTTTAAAGTATCTAAATAAATAAAGTTTTAACTAATGGTGCAAGTAAAAAATCGATTATTGATTATTGAGTTAAATATGAATTTCAGACATTTTTGAGTATTAAAACTGTCATTATTGATTGAATCCATTTAAAGAGCTGTATCATACAGTCATAACACGTTCAAACAAACTGTGCTATTATATTTTTGACAAATTTGTATTAATGACATTCATCAAATGAAACGAAAGAACACAGTGAGCACGTGAAATCTCTCTGACACAAAACGGCAACACCGGGGGGAGGAAAAGGAGGGGGACATAGATCTTTGTCCCCCTCCTTTTCCTCCCCCCGGTGTTGCCGTTTTGTGTCTGAGAGATTTCACGTGCTCACTGTGTTCTTTCGTTTCATTTGATGAATGTCATCAATACAAATGTGTCAAAATATAATAGCACAGTTTGTTTGAACGTGTTATGACTGTATGATACAGCTCTTTAAATGGATTCAATCAATAATGACAGTTTTATATACTCAAAAATGTCTGAAATTCATATTTAACTCAATAATCAATAATCGATTTTTACTTGCCACCATTAGTTAAAACTTTATTTATTTAGATACTTTAAACACAATTTCGTTGTTTAATTCTTAAACAACTTTCAGTTATGACACGATCGAACACGTTTCCCAAGCTATACATAAACACGGCCGTCTCAGTGTTAGAGTTTAGGCCAAACCTCCGAGATACGATTCCCACTAGGAGCTGCTGATGATTCCTATACGAAGAAGAAACGGTAGTCCAGACCTTTCCGGGTTAAATAGTGTGATCTAACATTGATCATCTCATGATTTCACAAAGTAACCTTGATAGCTTCTTCTTCATCTGTAACCTGATTTGTTTTCTTCCAAAGTAGATGGTTGCTGATGTTGTTTGGCCGACGGATCCGAAGTATTTTGCGTAGACAACTCTGTTAATAAACACTTGTATCTTATGCACGATACCTTTCGGTGTTTTCCAAGGTTTCCGCCTAATACAGTAGAATTGTCTTGACATTTGTATTGAAAATTGTGACTTGGTGTTGGTTGATGTTTTGAGTTCCAGGATTTTCTTTAATTGTAGGAATGCTGGCTTTGCTTTGTCTATTCGCGCCTACATATCGGCATCAGACTCACCTTGTTTATCACTGATACTGCTCAGATACGTCAAGGTTTCTATATCTTCCAGAGAACTCCGCCTGGAGTTCTTTAAACAATATTCAAATATGTAGAAGTGTTTAACTGGATTCAACATTTCAAATTGTTTTGTTTAAAGCCAAACCAACTAATAATTACTTAGTGATTTGACAGATATCTACACTTGTATTCTCTACAAATTTATGACTATTGTCATAATCTTCTTATTTCATTTTTAGTAAAAAACAAAACATTTATTCGAACTATATTTGCAATAATTATTACTAATACCACCCAAAGCCATAGGAATGATGATTCTAATAGTTAACCACAATTATCAATGTACAATTAGGACAACTTGGAAGCACTGAACGGCCATCAAGTCCTACTATGAGACTTAACAAAAGTGTACATCAAACTGTGGATGCAGGAATCCCAATTCAGAGACCCTTCGGTCTCGCGCCTACTAACACCTAAACTTTAGACCACTGAACAGGCATCCAACAATGTTAAATGTCCTAAACTCTGATCAATCAATCCAGTGTATTGATCAACCTCACCTATTGTCCTTGGTACGGTAACTGCCTACTACCGGCAAGAATGGACTGCACTGGTCACTAGATATAACTACTAAACAGTACATTAATAATATGGTAAGACTGCATTGTAAATTTTGTTTAATGATGGACTGATGAAAAAAGTATGTTTGTTTACAACTTACTCATTGTTATTGAGTATTTTTGCTACATATTCAATAGTATTTTGAAAATACTCTGATCACGCCGTGCACTTTGATCTTCTGAGACAACTCTCTTTTGCATGAAAGGGTAAAAAGAGATTGTTGAGTTGTTGTTTATTGAAATCATGAATCGATCAATGTTAGTCCACCATTAGGAAACCTGGAAAGCCGTTTCGGGGACTCATCAACGACGTGCGCATACAAAACCCCTGCTACTCGCAGGGTTCGAATCAAGGACTTCGGTCCTTACGCGCGAAACAGTGGGTAAGGTTGCGCAAGACCGTGGACCTGTCTAACATTGATCGATTCATGATTTTCAAAGTACCATGCAACAGTCACTAATCAATCGAATGCTATACATGTATTTCACGTATTTCAATGTGCTAGTTGTTCTTTTTCTCTATTACCATCTCAAACTATCACTAGCTTAAAGCTTTTTACTTGCTGCGTTATTTTCTGACTGTTAGGTCAGATAAAAAATAATAATTTTATCGATGATGGTGCTGCTGCTCATAGTTCTTTTTGATCAATCAATCATAGTAAACACACACGCACACAATCTCTCTCTCTCTCTAAGTAATCTGTCTTTTTGATTTCTAATGAATGCTAATTATAATTGCGATATCATGGGTCAGTAGTAAACACAGAGGCGTACACGTGCATATCACCACATTGAATAAAGGCGCAGCCCTATACATATAGAAGACTGGTCGGTACAACAACACATCATACAAGCCGATAAAAAGCAGGATGATCGCACAAGCTCAAGTTCAACACACACACAAAACACGGCATGCACATACACACACACACACATGTACGTGAAATTTGAAAATATATTTTTATATATATTTAGTCCAATAAAAAATTGGCATAGACAAACAAGTGGTTGCTGCTAGCTGCTCATTAGGCGGAGCATGGCTGGGTGTGTTGAAATTAGTCATAATAATAATAATAATAACAATAATAAATGAATAATAATAATAATAATAATAACCGTACTAATAATAATATTACTATTATTATTCAAACAATATACAACATTATTCAAACATGATGATTATCAATGTCAACAAGCAACAACAGGGGACACAGTGGTGGTTGCGGTGGCGGTAGTATGGATCAACACACACACACACACACCCACACACACACAGAGAGAGGGAGCAAGAAACAAAAAGTGAATGTGCGCGTCAGTGCATTTTTCTTTTTTTTAGACAAAATGGTATTGAATCCAACAAAATTGTATACAATTTTATATATATAAAGTGTGTGTGTGTGTATGGTTTACAGAGCCACAGAGAAATTGATAACAACAAGTTAAACAAAAAACAGAAAGGTGAAATAAGAGAAACAAGGGGGAAAATAGTCCACTGAAGTAAAACACAAACAGTGTGAGTGTGTGTGCGTGTGCGCAACATTCAGAAAAGCAATAGAATGCCTAAACACGCACACACACACAGTTGATAGGTAGGTGGTAGGTAGGCAAGTAAATAAGTAATTAAGTAAGTAAGTACATAATATATATATATATATATATATATATACGCTTATTATGAGCGATCGAGTACAAGCATCACAATATTGAGAAAAACCAACAAACACACAAACAAACAAACAAACGGACACATACCATACAAACCATTGAATGAATATTAAATGAGAGATAATACAGTACTAATTAATAATCATCACTTTTGTTTAGATTTAAACTTTTTACAAGAACTGGAAAATAATTTAGTTGGAGGAAGTGAACGTTTACGCGATGAACAGATTAAAACAGAATGATCACATGTGTTATTAGTAGAAGTAGTAGGAGTAATGGTCGGCACCGAAGAAGATATAGACAATGATGATTGTGGTTGTTGAGACAAGGAACACGAAGAGGAGGAAGAAGATGATGAAGACGAAGACGAAGATGAAGATGAAGAACAACTGGGCGATGATAATAAAGGCAATTTTTTCAAACGATTATCAGACGTTGAAAAATTCAATGTACAATGATTTTGTTTAGATAAAGATTTTTGAATATTATTATAATTATAATTATGAAATAATAATGAACAGGGTAAATTTGACAATTTGTCAACATTCAAACATTCCACATTAGATAGTTCTTCTTCTTGTGATAGTAATAAACGTTTCCAAGATAAAAATTCAATATTATTATTATTGCTATTATTGCTATTATGGTTATCATGTTTCAATAGTTTTGCTTGTGAATGATGCGTAGATAATGACGATGATGATGATGACGATGAGGAATTTTTCGTCAAATAACATGTAGAACGATTTACATCGATGAAAGTATCATTTTTCATTGTATTGAGATCAGTGGAAGGATGCATAGCTAGTAGATTAGTTTCAGTATATGGCCAATTTGTATAAAATGTTGATTTACAAGGTAAAAGATAATTTAAATAATTCTTATCTATACAATCTTCTGAAGTATCATTTGTATGAGTGTATGATGATGTTTGAATAGTTGAATGAACATTACGATATTGTACATGATAATGTATACCATGTCGTTGAATTTTTAAATTTTCCATTGTTGATTGATATTCTGATAATAATTCATACAGCTGATCTGTTTGATCAGTTGATGATCGATGCAATTCAGTTGTTCTAAGCAATGAACAACATACTTCATGTACCCATGGTATATCAGTGATAAAATCCCATTCTAAACCTGGACGGAAAAAAGAGGAAGAGTCGGATGGGGGACAAACAATAAAGATTTGACGAGATGAAGGTTGAACAAAACACACACAAAATAATAATAATAAACACCTACCTCATAAATGTTAATTTTATATTAGGTAGTCTTAAATACAAAAGTACAACTAATAGCAAGAGATAAAAATAGGTTTTCTAGGTCAATAATTCACTTCACAGGGATTATTTGCTATGGCCTTGATGTCACATATATCAATCAATCCGTTACAGCATAGAACTTCGCACGTACGTACATGAGTTCATGTTGTTATACCACATTAGCAGTTCAAATCACATAGTGGTAAAGATAGTAGAAGTATTAGTGATAATGGAGAAGATTACAGGTTGAAGAAATTATTCAAGAAGTATAATCCAGGGAGATAAATTTAGAAAGAGAAAGATAGAGGTGATGAGGAATTATGAACATTAGAATTTCAGAGAAACATATACACTATGTTGACAACAGCTAACTAGCAACAAATCTAGTCACAGAAAATCGTATTGATCGCTTTTCATCTTCCCTACAACAAGGATAGATGCAATTCATTTATATCACAGTATCGATAGTTGCATTCGGATCTGAACCTTTGGTTTACTAAATGAATGTCAAATGTTTTAACCATAACTAAGCTACCTGTATCTCTTCACATATACAAAATATGAGATTATACAATCATGATTTCATAGGAGTGAAATAACCAAAGCAGATTTAGGACACCTCTCTATTGTGTAGTAGCTTACTAGCTGAAATATTTCACAAACGATTCTTCGAATGAAATTCAATTTTACCTTAGTTCGGGACTTAAATAACCAGAAATGATGAGTTTAACCATCATCACAGGCATAAATTTGTCTAACTACGTACTTAAGGGTTTAACGTAACTTTAAACTTCACAAACATATGGGACGATAAAAAAAACGTTCAGATTAAATATTAGAACCAAAACAAAAACTTTAACAACTATCAAAATAATGTTGCCTACCATATTCACAGCGTTTATAAACAGAATTTTGTAGACTTTCCATAGGTTGAGGATAAATAGGAAGAAGATCTCGACGAATAACCATACTAGAGATGGAGGGAGAAAATATTTGTAAAAAAGTGCATTATTTACACAACTTTACAGTTACAATACGAAGGAATTATGTGAAATTTACAAACACTTTACTATTTATTTCATTAGATAAGGAAAAAATAACAATCGATTGTACTGAATACACGAAGATAATTACTAATGAAAAAAGACCCTCAAACGCTGAGTTTTAATCAAAAGTGAATAGTCAACGCTCACTTCTGAAATGACTTTATTACAAGGGATCATGGTGTTTAGAGCTTCTGGAGGAAAGTCCTACGTGACAAAAGTGCTGTTGGAATTCGTTGGGGATGTTAGATCCCCGAAATTCGCTTGATAAATGCCCTATTTTGGTTTTCACGTTTGCCAGCATGGGCTGATCAGTTGACCTTAAGATTTCATTTCCCACCAGGAAAACCCATGGCTGTGATTGGCTGCTGTGTATTTTAGTGTGCTATTTTCTTAACTGTCTCAAGGACGTTTCTATGATGCATAAATAAACGAGAGTTGTATGCTTGATTGTACTGTGTTTACTGGGTGTTTGTAGAATATACTTTTTATGCTTACAAAGTCTTTTCACTCTATTCGGGGATCCAAGGTAGCCTACCTGGACGCTGGTAAAAGTCTCGTTCGTGTTTATCGACTAAGGTAAACTCGTAATAGCCTCAAGGACACTTAGTGACGAGCGTAACAGAATATACTTTGTAACTTCTGAATGCAAAATACTTGACCCACAATGACAGGACCTACTGTATGCACGCATGCATTCACTCTTCATGGTAGCCAGTAATGAGCTGTCGAAAATTTCGAGTATCTGGGTGGTGGTATGGGTGATGAGATCGATTGATGTTCAGCGAAAACCAGAATGAACAATGCCAATCTCGGTCATTTTTCACTTAGTTGTGATATTAGTCTGTTTGTTAAGGGTGGTGATCAGAGTAGTGTCACTTTGCACTCGCGAAACCTAACCGGTCACAGTTGATGATGTAAGCGAATCTGTGTTTGGTCATAGCTGTCTGTGAAAGATTGTTGATATTTAGTGACGACACCATGTTAGTAAAATGCACAAGTTCGTCAATGTGTGATCAGGCATAGTGGCGTGAATTCGACGTAGTGGCTTGAGACGTTATCAGACATGGCCGATAACAGAAGCCAGTGACAATCCTGTTGCATTTTCGATTTTGTCCTACGAGTGTTTAACAAAATCAGTCCTTTTAGATTGAATTTTTATCAGCTCAACTGCCTTTCCAATGATATTTCAACAGAATGTTTTAAAAAACAATTTAAATCCAATCACAAACAGGAGGACATCATTTCAATAAATGATTTTCATGTGGATTCCATCTAACACACACGTCCAGCAAAATATCAACTTACTCAGAGAAATTGATCACTTCTCTAAACAACTGATCAAATGTCGAATGAAACTCTTCCATAGCACGTTCACTTTCCCAAATTTTATAGTCATGTGATATAAGTATATGCGCATGTTGACAATAATCCCATAATGCTCGTTCTACCTGAGCATTATATTGTCCAAATGGTCTACAAAAGAAAGAAAAAAGATTGATTTATAACCTAAAAACGGTAGAAAGATGGACTAAAATAGAACTGCTTCTTTTTATTGGAATACAACTGTTCAATTATCAAAGTTGACCACCATTTGAAGATGTTTACAAACGCTGAAAGCTCTACCTGGAGCTTTTCTGCGGTTCCTGAACGTTCGAAGCCCAGAAAGAAAGCTTGGGCATGGGGTTAGAGGATTGTCAAAGCAACGGCCGCATTTCTACACCTGAAGAACACTTGGGACTCGAGACAACTAATAACCAACATTAAAGTGACGATTTTCAATACAAACATCAAGAAAGTTCCACTGTATGGAATGGAAACCTGAAGAACCACGAAAGTCATCATCTAAAAGATACAGGTGTTGATTGACAGTTGTTTACGAAAAATACTTTGAATCCATTGGCCAAACATCATCATCAACAACCTACTGTGGAATAGAATAAATCAGATTCCAGTCGAGGAAAAAAATCAAGAATGATTGCTGGAAGTGGTCAGGACATACATTACGGAATGTATCCGACTGCGTCATAAGACAAACCTTCACTTGGAATTAAAGTACAAAAGAAAACAGGAAGACCAAAGAACACATTACGACGAGAATCAGAATCAGACGTAAAAAGAATGAACAGGAATTGGATAGAACTGGAAATTTAGGCACAAAGCAGAGTAGGTCGAAGAATTCTGTTTGGCAGCCTATGATCCACTACGGGGTAACAAGCTTGAATAAATAAAGTAACAAACGTTGAAAGTAACTATTGATGTGTTTTACTCCACATATAGACAAATTAATGGTGGTGAAGTAGTAAAAATTTGTACATCGAAATCAATCACAACATATCTGATGACATTAAGACTATAGAGAGTTCTGTAAAGATTATCGAATTCCCAACAGTTTACATCATGGACTGAATTTAGTTGGACAACACCAGTGAACACTAGGAACCTGTTCACAGCTATTCCATCCTCGTATGGAAGGAACTCTTGAGCACTCCCGACCACTCTAGGCATAGATTCTAGGGCATTCAGGTCACCTGATGTTGTAACGCTTGCTTAAATGATTCCCAGCTAAATCCTATTGCTTAGTATTCTCTGACCATAATACACTGGAAAAGTTCCAAAGAATCAAAAACACGGTTGAACAGGAAAAGATTATATTCCAAAATAGCAAGGTTAAATGGAAATAAGAAGCCAAGGGTGATGGCGAAGGCGAAAATAGATACAACGTTAGTTTATTTATAGCATTTACATGAGAAGCTTCTGGATAGGTATTCACGTGATCGACTGGATTAGATTAGCCAATCAGAGTGCAGCTAACAACACGATAACTTTCTACCCTGTTCTCCAAGACTCGATCAGGCGCTGATCGGATAGGAAATTAGCCAACCAGCGCGCAGCGACGTAGTCATGCTTTAATTCCATCTATGTCCCACTAACAAGAGGAAAACGGTCATGAGGAATTCAGAAGATTAAGAATTTGCGAGAAGACAAAGAATGGATGCCCCTGAGCCATTCCAAACGATTTTGAGCCATGTCACTCAAGGTCTCTCTCTCTAACCATCGGTTACTATCACATCTCACGTAACCCAACCAAGTAGTCTCCTATCTACCAACATGGCTAAGCTCAGTTGTCAGTGACTTTATGGACTGGTGCCATGTTTTGTACTGGCCGGCCCCAATATGATGGTGGAAAACTAAGAAAGCAAAAAAAAAACACTTGCCTATATGTAATGGATATATTTTCATTGTGTGCAGGATAAAGTTGACCAACACCGGAGAGAAAATTATAAATTGCAAATTTCGGACAATTAATAATTCGAATACGTCGAAGTGCTGGGAATCGATCGATAGTTTTGCGATTGACATCATTGATAGTTTGATGATGATTGCTATTATTATTATTACAATCGGCTGGTGAAGCATAAGAATTGTCGAATAGAATAGCTCTTAGGTCAGAACAATTCTCTAAAGTGATATTTTTCAAATGTGGAGCTTCACATAAATTTATATGAGAAATACCAACCTATAAATGATAAAACATAAGACATATGAAGTAGACGTTTGACTGTACGAAAAAACAGTTCTTATAATTCGGATGTGAAAAGAGATGATACATGATCAAATCCGTTAGCTTGTGCCAGCAAAGTTTTACTGTCGAGTAGAAACCATGAGCAACATCAACACATGAGTCAATTGCTTTTCTGTTAAACTGACTCGTCAGTCATTCAGATGCAACGTAGAACTTCGTACGTAAGTACATCAGTTCATGTCGCCATACCACATCAGCACAGAGATGTAATTGTCAATTCAAATCCAATAGTAGAAGAGGTAGTTAAGGTATTAGGAGTAATCGGAGAGTTTAGGATTAGAAGATGTTACTTAAGAAGTATGATTCAGTGAGATAAGCGTAGAAAGTCCAAACTCACCTACGCCATAAATGACGCAGGTTGGCAAAAGCTAATCGAGCCTTCTGTATCCGAGCTGAGATTTCGTCAGTCACCAGGCCATCGGCACTGATGAGACTCCCAAGATAAGTGAAGCGGTCTACACGTTCGACTACTTCACTCCTTATCACTAGTTCAGGTGCAGATGCAACTCAATCTTGAAGCAACATTTTGCATTTCGAGGGTGAGAACCGCATCCCGAACATGCTTGCATTGTTGCTTTGGGTGGTCAGAAGACTCTGCATTTTGTCAGCGTCTTCACCAAGTAGGACTATGTCATCGGCATATTGTAAGTCAATAAGCGATCCACCTGGTAAAATGTCTACTGAAAATTCAGACGAGGATAAGGTTATTTCTAGGAGCATGTCTATGATAAAATTTAGTGTTTTCGGTGATAGTCAGTTTAACTGACTAATTGTTACAGAATAAACCAGCATAATTCGCCACAAAGTGAAATTACTAAGAGAACAGTTGTTAGTGTGTGATAAAAGTGTAGAATATCAACTTTAAGCAATAAAATTCATGCAGTTCTGGACTGTGATTGGTTATATGGTAAGAGGACAGCGTGAGAGTAATATATTTCACTGACTATTTTTTTTTGTTTGTAGAAAGCGATGTACACTGTCCCAATGGATTTCACACAAGACAAATGTGTCAGTTATCAAAGAATAGACGATTGAAATGTGAACACCAGTGTGAAACAGTTGTATATTGATATGTAAATGCTTGTTGAATGTTTTTTTTGGTGAAATTCATTTTTCAAATCGATGTCACAGTTTGTGATGTGATGATGAGGGTAAACCTTCCCATCATCAATAATCTTAGTCAATATAAAATGGAATAGTCAACTATGAAAATTCCACTGTATCCCTTCCCATCATATGAAAATAAAAAGGAGAAAAGCACAACTATCCTTTCATATTCACCCGGAAATACTGTAAAAGAGGGCAGGATAGAAATAATCACCAAATCAATGGTAGTCAAATGTAATAAATAAAACTAATACCCATTTAAAGCCGTAGTTCTCCTTATGTGTGTGTGTGTGTGCATATGTGAAAGGCATAATGAGTGATTTACGCATCAATGGATGCATTTACACATGATGAATCATTTCATATTAGCGGGATGTGTGATAGTTTAAATGAAAGAGTCTTGTTTACAAAGACACATACACACACACACGTGTAATATGTCCGAGAGGAAAAATTATACGACAAAGAGAAATAGTATCCTATTGGGAGTAGTGTAGTAGTATATATAAACAATCCAACGAACTCGTAGTACAATGAACCAACACTATCTATCGTACACGTAAAACAGTTGAGCTTGTCCATCATCTCATTCATTTTAAGTTACAGCAACCTCAGGTAAATCGGTAGTTGATGCAAGATTGAGACAGATACAACTGTTTTACTCGACTCGTAGTTAACTGCTCCCAAACCTGTGGGACGTGAGAGATGTTCTTATGTGTATATAAAAGAATGAATACCCCTTGAATTACTATATGACTGGGAAACATGATCTATCAAAATAGTGGACAGGTGTGGGTGGTTGATATTTAATCATAAACATCTTCAATATGTCACAAGTGAATATGGTTCTAATATTAAGTGAATAATGCTGAGGTTAATAGGACAGTTTTCCGGCAAAAAATAGTAGACCAATGGATAAGGCTGTGAACTTCCGTAAAATTAGGCCACTTGAATCCCGTGGTTCGATTCCTGAGAGCTATTAGGAAGTTCAGTATGCATTGAATGACTTCAAATTATGTATGTTTTTGTGTAAGTTAAAGCGATTATATTTTCTACCAAGTTTCGTCGATGGTTCAATTTTCTAAGCAATCGTTACCCCGACAAATATGCATCGATCAAGTCGACCGACTACATCGTATTTTACATCTTATAGCAAGGTGTTATACATTGAAATAGCCTACACTGCAATGATTAGATTTGAAAATCGATAACGGTGGGTCAAATCAAAATACGAGATCAGTCTAGAAGATCAGTAATCGTTGCAAAGAACTGATCTGAGAGGTGTGAACTTTTGTGTTACATACAATTTATGAGATAATTAGTACCCCATCAATAATCGTTTGCTTGGCTCTCGAACATGTGACTTAATGGTTGAAAGTGGAATGCCTTCACAATCAATGATAAACTACCGCTCGATAACTCTCTGATTGGAAACCATGAGCCATAATAGGGTATAAAATCAACAGTATATATATATATATATACATTTTAAATTTCTACAAAGATTTTGAACCTTATAAGGTGACAAGGTTCCAAATAGGTTACAGTAATAATACGCAGACATTCAGTTTTTCTCTTTTTCTTACAGACAACTAACTGTATATAATATAATGAATGGGCTGCATTGAATTCGAAGTAGGGCTCACCACTTTGGTGATTACTGCTTAGAAAAATTATTAAATATGCTATGAAATAAAACTTTAGGTGAACCTCGTTTGTGTGACGGGGATAGTAAGAAACCAAATACATATGCCGTTGGATGAGCTAATTTCACGCAATCGTTCACATAGACAGACATGAGAATACAAATGTACAAGCAAAGCGAAGGCAAGTAAATCAACTCAGTGTGATGAAGCATCATGACTTAGCTTGTTATTCATAGTCAGACAAAACCAAACTACAGATTTGTGATAAGCGGAGCAAACAATACACACACACACACACACAATAACCAAGGTTATGAGAGAATAATTGACTGACAAGGTTGAAAGACGAGTCAATAATGTTTTGAATAGAAAAGGTGTGAGTAACTACTCAAGAAGAACGGAATTTTAATTAGTTTGTCTAAAAGCTGTGTGAACAAGCCGAGGTGGGCTCAACACATCTATATTTATATATATCAGTTAGTATACGCATACATATTACACTACACTACTTTTTCTATTCTTAATCGAGAAAAACTACTAATTTTTAATAAATATGATGTGTTTTAATTGATTGACTTACTTTTTCAAAGTGTAATGAAGTTAAACAACTATGCATAGAATTCAAAGGTTGGAAAATTTTAAGAATTTGCGGTTTTGGCAATGTAAAACATCTTAATTCACTAGTATCCAATGTTGCATCACGAACTAACCATTTTGTAGCTGTATAACCATGACTCAATGGTGATTTGATGAATTTACACGGTGCAGATATCTAAATAATATTAACAAAGCAAGACAACAAAAAAACAATCCCTTGAAAGCCAAAAATAGACTACAACGACTTATTTATTGCATAAAACAGTGAATTAATGACTGAATGAGTAGTATACTGATACAGTTTAATTTTTGCATAGGGAATATATGTAAAGAACTAAAACAAGATTGTTACTGGCTTTTCTATTCTGACTTATATACAACAGATAATGAAGTTCCAAGTCAATTAGTCTTTAGGAAAACACACTCATAGAACTGTGTTGGACAAGGAACATATGCTAGCTCATTTAAAATAGATAGAGGTTTGTAGATTTATCTTTGAGTCATATCCTAGGTGTGAGGACTAGTGAAATTGCAGTCAGTCAGTCAGACAGTTGCAAAGTAGAACTTCGCACGTATGTACATAAGTTCATGTTGCCATACCACATTAGCACAGAGACGCAAATGTCAAATCAAATCCCATAGTGATGGAGATAAGAGAAGTAATAGGAAGCGAAGGATTTGATTTTGATCAATTTGGTCTCGTGTGCTGTAACGGGTATGAGGGCGGTTGTCACTTCCCGGCTGCCCACACCGTAGAAGTGATAACTGTTTTTAAGTCTAATTCTATTGGTCAATTCTTATTGATAGTCCTGACTATCAATGTCACTTCAAATGTTGTTCCTATTGGTCGTTCTTACTGTCAATGTCACAGACTTCCTATTCAACCCAACTGCATAAATACGCATTATCTGTAACGTTTTATGACTCGGATCCCTAGTCCGGGATCCTGATTCTCTTCTGCGCTCGGATCTCGTACTTTCTGGATTATCGTAGAATACATGTTCTACTTCATATCAAGTCTTCTTCTTTTACTCAATGGGGGTTTGGGACGCTCGGATTAGAGTAACCTGTTGTGTCGCCGGATCCTTGATCCTCGCTCTCGTTTTCCGACTAAGGTAAACGCGTAATAGTTCAAGTATATCAAATTGACGTGTTTACGTGCATACGTAATGGATGGAGTGTGACTTAATAAACCTTCAATTTAGTGGTAGAAATTCCAGCACCACAATTTGAGTGGTTCTTACACAACTATCTTTTATTTCACACGTCAATCAATGGTTAGAGGATAGTTAACTATTCAGTTCTTCATTTATTTAAACAGATTAATGTTGGTACAAAAGGGGCACCGGAATCTTCATGCGGGTCGGAATACTGCCTAGGTGTCTAAAACGAAGTAAATGGTTTTCTCAGAAGAGCCAATATATAAGCTCTCGATCCTTAGTCTAATTTCACGCGGCAGTGAAGCAACGTCAGAAGATTTAGTCTAATGGTAGTCGGTTTACAAGTCATTTATTTCCTTAGGATCGCGAAGCCTAAATAAACCAAAGGTTCGGGATTAAGGTTTTCCAACTTCCTATGGTGGATGCTCTAATTAAAACTTCCTGATAGTAGCTATAAACATCTAGCCGTATGAAAGTATTTTGAAAGGAAGAGGCGAACTCTCCACACTTTGAGCCGTAATCGGGGCATTTAGAGGCTAATTAATTAACAATGTAAACAATTAGCTAGACACAAGTGAATCGATTAATATCCGTTGTCTGAGAGAATAACATTAAATGAATATAGTATCTGATATCTGATCCCGTGAAATAAATTTAAAAAGGGAAAAAAGGTCGTGAGGGATTCAAAGGGCTAGAATTTGAGAGACGACACTCAATAGATGCACGTGCG